CAGTGATTGGCCTAAGGGCCAACGCGTGGCCCTAATGGAACCATACTGGGCAGGAATGACCGGGGGGCGTGGGAGGAATGGAGCTGCGGTTTGCACCCACGAGAAACCCCCCCCCTACCCCTATAAGCGCTAACCTAAACCTGTTACCAGGCAGACTCGAGAATTCGCACGCTGCTTGGTGATCTGTTATCAGGGTAGAGGGCTTAGGGATCCTGCCTAGGGCGTAAAAGGCGCTTGCATGAGGGATAGGTACATGTGGACTGTCCCTAAAGCAGCATACGGATCGCGGTACACGGGCTCCTGGTCCCTAAGCAGTGGAACGGGGGGAGACCTGAATTAGCAAGTTCATCCTCAACCGGCTCGCCACCTTCAAGCAAAAGCTTCGATCCCCAAAGTCGTTGCATGCCATGACACATGAGTGGAGGGGGACCCTGTGGAATGCGGGGAGGACGCCAGGGAACAAAGCGAGTCTCCCGGAGAACTGCCTGAAGGGTCCTAGAATCATCATCGCTCCGTGCACTGCGCATGTGTTGCTGAGTCAAGAGAAGACACAAAGGAGCGGTCCACTCAACGGTCGCCTCGTTCAAGACCTGATTTGATGGACCTTGTATGGTGCGAGGTGCTGCATTCTACTGAGCGCAGTTGGGGCTCAGGAGCAATGCCCACAACCTGAGCTTCCACCGGGCAGCAAATTGCGCACTAACCACCGGAGCTTAGGTGCGTCCAGGAAGTAAATTGTAACTGCATGTTACAATGTTTGCGTGGAAGAAAGTTCCAACAAGTCCAGTGGGTCGGTGGCTATGCCCATACCGTCCGCAACGTGAGCGCCCGCGCTGGATCGCGCAGGCACAGTTGGAGTTTTGATTGTCGGCGTAGAGGATGAGGTGGTTCATTGCTCGAATGCTTATGAGTGCTTATGGCAGGAAGGAGTCGGTCTTGGGCCGCATTAAATGGGCCGCAGTATGGGGTGGTGGGCGGATGGTAGCCAACTCCTGGCCCTTGACCCCACCTGAGCTCTGCAGCACCCCTTGGCCAAAGCACCTGTGCCATGTGAGTAAACTCCCGGCCGCGGTTGCACCAGAACTAAAGGCCGGGTCTCACGCCCTACAGGCCCTACTACAGGCCCTACCCTTGAAATCTTTGTTTATGGCATCCGGCCCTGATTCGCAATCCCCGGCACAAAAGGATGTCCTGGTGCACCTGAAGTCTTAAACCTCACGCGAGCCATTGCGCAAGACACCGTTGCGCCTATGTCAAACTCCGCTGCCTGGACTCTGCACAAATCCTCGCACCTAAGTCTGCGGGGGCCAAGATGGGCCCATCCAGTCCCAGAGACTCCAGGTTCTCCACCGGCCTCAGAGCGCATGCAGGAGAGCACTGAAAGCACTCGAAGGAGAAAAAAGCCTTGGACGCACATAAGCAAGACTTCGGGAAGTGCTGGGACAAGCTTGTCCGCAGGCTTAGGGGTGAGCTGGGCGCGGGCTGGGCCAGGCCGGATGTATCATGTTAAGCCATGCCACACGTTGAAGGGAAAGTATGCTAAGGCTCTTGGGCTGCTGCGACTCCCAGATCTTAAGCTCACGCACGACATATCTCAGTATGCAGGTCGGGCGAGTGATATGCTAGGTGGCATCCTGTCTGCAACATCAGTACACTTCGCTTCGGCCAGGTAGGCAGTCTCCTCTGCGGCGAAAGCTGTGCAGCCGATGGCACGCAAGCAGGGGACAACTAGGCTGCCAAGATGACATGGACGACAACAGGCACCATTGCTTTGGGGAAGGCCACACGGCTGGACTGCTCGGTGTCTCTGCGGCCATGCAATCCGCGAGGTCTGTGTTTTAGGCCCTTGTGCTTGGGGGCTCCGCCAAAAATGGCTGCGAAGTGTCGACGCCGATGGCCTGAACTTAGAGAGGAGGAAACTAATGGCTGTAATGGTTGTAATGGCTGTGTCCTCTTGCTCTAAAGTAGAACACTCCAAAGTTGATCACGCAGGTTCTCTGCGCAGATCGCTGGCCGAACTGTGAAGGATGTCCGCTTGACAGCATGCGGATTGGCTACATACTGCTGCTTGCCGGCAGCCTTGACAATCAGAATCTCATCCCAGGATCCGTGGAGGCATCAAATGAGCGACTCTGAAAGACAGCCTGCTGGGCGGCCCCGTCACTGTCCAAGAGTCGTTGAAACCTGGACGCCCGTCCGGCGATTCCAGGCAGTGCTTGGTGGTGAGGCTAGCGGCACACTTCGAACAAGGACATCTCACTGTGCAGACTGCTAGGTGTAGCATGGACCGCTAGAAAGCTGCAGCTTTCATACGCCCAAGGTTGAGGCCAGGTCTGCGGTCCAAGTCGGAGTAGCGATGATTGCACTAAAACTTAGCCTCAGGCCTACAGATTAAGAGTCGGAGATCTCGGCTGTGAGACCATGTTCGCAACTCTTGTTCAGGTTTGGGGGTTTAGAGTTTAGAGGTTTATGGTTTAGGTGTTGGGTTTAGGGTGTAGGTTCTAGGGGTTTCGAGTTTCACACCCGCACATGGCCGGCAAGGCTTCGGTTGGTTCTCGGGTCTCTTTGGGTGATGGTTCTAGGTTTAGGGTTTAACGTTTTGGTTGGTTGTAAGTAGGGTAGGTAGCATCGGAGCCAGTGTTGCAGATGGCGGCGGGCATGGCAGGTGAGCTTGCAGCGAGGGTCGCACCCAGGCCTCTTTGCAGGGGGGTATCATAGTGCGGCTTTCATGACACAAAGCCTGGCGGTTTATCTTAAAGAGGTGGAGACAGCTTCACGCCTCAGTCCTCCAGGTTTGATGGTGCATGGGATGTGTGAACGAAGCGGATCTTACTGTGTAGGGTTAGCAAGAATGCTTCCTAGGACATAATCGGCAAAGGCCTGCCCATGTTGCACGCCTCCGGAACCGCGCACGGGTGCATTCCAAAGCGGATGTCGCATCGACGCATCAGAACCTGATGTATCAAGCTCAAGCTATCCAAACGGCGTCCTCCGGCTTGACCTGTCGACATTATCGACACGCCTGGATCTGTGGATTGCACTCGCATCATGGCACACCACGGAATCTGCATGAGCCATGATCTAGACTCCTGGTATCTCCCTGATAATACTCCCCTATATAACCCCCTTGAAGGAGTCTAGACTCTAGCTCACGTAGACTAGCAGTTCTATTCTTGAAATTGAAACGTCACGGCACCACACAATCCACCCCAAGCATGCGACAGTGCTGGGTGCTGGGAATAACTTGGGGAGAGAATCAAATGGAAAAGAAGATGCAAAATTGAAAGAAAACTGGGATGATGTAGGGGTCTCTAGAATTATGGTATATAGCCTAGCAACTCAAAGAGACCTCGACATACGAATTTGGGCTTCTACTTCAGTGGGCTTCGTTCTCAGAAGGGCTTGAAATCAAGCATCGCTTTATCTATATGCAATGAAGAATTGGGGCCTCCCGACGACCCACTCATTGAAAATTTCTGGAAACTTCCTAAAAACGGATCCGGGACACTTTGCAACAATTGTTCTACAAGTTTTCTGAGAAACTCATTGTTTATGATGAATCCATGGTCTAGAGGAAACAAACATGTGATGAGAAGTCATCTTAGATAAAATACGTTTCGGTTTGTATTTATCTTCGGGTCTCGCACGGCATGTACATAGCTAAGTTTGGAAACCTTTCGCCCTTGTGCTGCGTCTGCATGATACTCTTTCTGCTACGTAGGTGGCTCAAAGATTCGACAAATTGTGGCAAGATAAAGCAACGCCCGAAATCCCATAAGGCCCTAAGTATAAAACACTACCTGCCGAGTTTCCCGCTTCTTTCCAATCCCGTAGTGCATGTGCAGTCATATGCGAGTGCCGACAAAACGCCGACGGTCCACTTATTTTGGCAGTGGGTTGCGGGTTTCGGCTCTTCCGTTGCTTTCTTCCCCCTTCTACCCTTATGCCCTTGTGAGGACTTCCTGACGTGCGGCCGGCTAGCTCACGAGGCCTCCGGGATCCTGGGGGCTTCGGATTGTAGAACAGAATACCTACACATATACGTTCACGGACCAAAAATACCCCGCGCCAGAGACCCTATACCTATTCGCCCATGTAGTTTGCCCCTACGCCTTAATAGGGTTGCCGGAAATTTAAGTCTTGTAGCGTCGGTGCCTTCCGACGGGAATAGCATTCCTTTCCTGGATGCCCGTGTGCACGGCTCCTTTATTTTAGTGGCCTGTGCCTTGACTTGTTTCGAGATAGGGGTTTTCTGACTCCTGAGCCGCCCGGAACTAATTGAAGCCGGCCATCCGTCCCCTACCCATTTTCACCTCACGACTCATACTGAATTGCCCGTTGCTAGAAGCAGCAGAACCCCCCTAGTTTATTGTTGAAATATGGGAGACGATTTCTATATTGTTTCGATTGAATATGAAAAGCACAAGAAAGTAAGGATTTATTGTTTTTATTTTATCTAGGATTTTCCTGATTTCAGAATTTGGAAGGATGAGCTACGTTCTTATAGAAATCGAAATTATTTGGTTTTGCATCTTTATATACTTGTGAGAACGCATCTTGTTCCATAGCCTTGCACAGTATGTTGTGCAAAGAAGCAAAAACTGTAAATACCAGTGTTTTCGGCATAGTCGGCAAAGGCATGGACTCTTGTAACAAGCCAGCAAGGAACCCATCTATCGAGAGGCTTAGTACGGCTTTTAAGTGAGCGTGAAGTCTATGAATAAACGAAATCAATGCACGATTACAGGACGTATGAACCGAATAACGGCCAGCTGTGAAGCCCGGAAGCAAAAAAAAATGAATTAGATTATTAAGGGGCGTTCCTTCCCAGGCTGCCAAATCGACCCCCCCCCCCCCCCGGTTGGAATCCATCCTTCCTGCGAACGCCCCCCTCCTGTGATAGAACTGCACTAAAGCCCCATACGAAGTTTGAAGGAGCACATGTCTCACAGAATCTCTGTGCAACGCATGGCTATGCAACTGATTGAGCATGGCGACTTTTAGTCATCTAGTTCCAGCGTTACCCGGCGCACGTATGGTACACCGTCTCCAGGTGGGAACTCAGCAGCAGGCATCTTTGCAGACATGCCTCAGCATGCCGCATGTGCTAAAAAAAATCATGTTCAGCGCATGCCGCATGTGCTCAAAGTACCATGTGCAGCGCATGTGGGACCATGTATGTGTTTTGTTGAACTGAGCTCCAGACCTGGAAGGGGAGCATCTTGCACAATTGGGTCAGAAAGATGCAGATCCAAAGGAGCCGATGGCAACTCGCCCCAAAGCAATTCGGGCGAGGGATGGCTTGGTAGCATTGGTTGCATCTGTGGTGTCCCCTGCTGCTGAGCTTCAAGCAAGTCTGGTTCTGGCAAGGGCGGCAACGGCTCGCCAGGACGTGCTAAACCGAAGCTGTCAGCCTCGCTGGGACGACTGTCAAGTCTGTTCACCTGCAATGGCTTTCCTGCCAGCCCTTCTGGCACACTAGCTTTCGGGCGGCGTTCAGCACGCCGACGCTCATCTCGGGACATGGACAACCGCTCGATTAAACTTGCAACTTTCTGGGGCACAGATGATGGCATCTTCTTTGGCTCCACATGAAGCGCTGCATCCTCTGCCTCCCTTGACTGTGTGGGCAAACTGGGGACCCCCGGATCCTCCTCGCGAGCACGACCGTCAAGATCAGTGTCGTCAAGCTCAGCATGAGTTGGTGGGCATGGGGCGAAGGATGGGCTCTCGCTCGCTTGCTCCAAATCATCTGGTGAATTGACCTCCGGAGGGAGAGGCGGGGGGGGACTTGAGGAGACACCGGGGAAACTCATTCGCTCTTCCCGGATCTGCTGCCACAGTACAGCTTCCAGATCCAGCTCTGCATCCACAACGTCATCAACAGAGTGCCGCTCGCTAAGATCCGCCTTGTTGTCTTGCTGGCGCGCTAGTTGTGTCAACAACTCCAGTGTGTCTTGAGCTTGTCTTCTCTTCGAGCCGACTCGGTGCAGCTTCTCACGGTCTGCAGAAATGCATTCTCGGAGCTGCTGCCGTTGCCCATCGGTCTCGCATAGCTGCTGGTGCACTTCCGCAGCCATCGCTGCAGTGTGCCCTTCGCTGGGCTCCGCTGCTTGAAGCAGTTTGGCCCACAGCTCTTTCCGTCGACAGCCCGCGGCTGTGTCAACATCGCAGCGTCTTTCCTTAAGTTTCTGTGCTCTGCCCCGAATGGCCTTGATTCTGTCACTGGCCTGCCGCACCTCCTGTGACAATGCATCCCACCGTCGAGTGCAAGCAGCCTCCCCTCGTTGCAGCTCGGCAATAGCTCGTTCAGCTCTTAGCAACACCCGCAGAATGTCCACAGACTCTTTTCGGCTGAGCATCTCTTTACAACTGACTAAATTCCGCCAGTGTGCCAGCTTTTGCAGAGTACGGAAGTCTGACGGGCATGGGTCGTCCACAGCGTCTTCTCCACTTCCTGTATCTTCCACTGGAGCCAAACAAGCAAACTCTGCGAGTTTGCCCCGCAAGTTCGAAGCACACGCCGTGCTTGCCTGAACTTGGGCAGCCATCTCGGAACGAGCATCAGTGAAACCCGCAGTTCGGGCAGGCCCCTGAACCGGCAGCATCGCTTTGGACATGCCATTGGTCAAGCTCTCTGCCTTCCCCAACAAATCAACTAAGCGACCCGCTGGGTGATTCGAAGTTGCTCCGGAGATGGGTCTCCCACTTTCAACTGGGAGATCCGCATACAAGTCTTCCAGGCTTCCCACAGCCTTCTCAACTGCAGGCAGAACGATGTCAAACAGGTGCTTGCCTTTTTGAGCAGTCGGCGTCATGGCTCACTCTTTTCTTTTAGCTCAAGCTGAAAGCATCTAACCCTGCCTAGCAATCTATGGGTACAATGACTAGTCTTTGCTTGAGGAACGATTGAAGCTCAACGGCTTTCCTCTGGTCCGCCTGGCTTGAGAGCACACATTTTGGTGACAGCAACTGACTTCTTCACGCATCTTCAAACCCATGGGAATCACATGTGCCATCTTATCGCTCGCACAGCCACGATCGAGATTCTGCCGAGGAATGACTGTACAAGAGAAACCGCAACTGGGACGCTTGCTCCGCATAGTCAGATGTCAAGTGAAACCTGGTATCACATCGAGCTCAGCCTGCCACCGCTATGCCACCACTCTGTGGACTCACTGCTAAGAAATCAACTGACGAACACTTGGCTCAGGTGCTTGGATGTGCTTGGGCAGTGGCTCAGGCCGAATCTCGAGACCCAGAAGCCTGCGAGCCAGAGCCTGCAATACACAACCGGCGCAGCCGCCGGGGCACGCTCAAGCAGCTTATGCCAAAGACCCCTGGGGCCTATCTGTCGTCCTTGAGATCTGGCCTGCTTGGGCGGTGACATACATCTCAGCGGATTACACGCAAACTTGAGGGTCATAGCAGCGACAGCAGCCTGGCTTAATGCAGCTTAACACATGCAGCTTGCAGCCGCTTCACCCTCAAATAAGCCCCAGAGTCGGCACTGAGCATACTGAGCATACTGAGCATACTGAGCATGCAGCACTACCGCGAGAGGATGTCTTCTCCTCTTGAGGTCGGCCTGGGACTCATTGCTTCAACAAATGCAACACCAGGAGCCTCTTCCCGGGGCATCAAGGAAACTCTGAAACAGCGCTGACTGGGCAGCTGGCTGGAATACTTCCGCCAAGCATCCATGCAGTGACTGGGCGGCAATGCATGGGACAACTGCTGCAAACAATCCGAGATCAGGGATGCAAAGTATGCAATTGCAGACCAGTCTACGCACGATGCCGCTGTGCAACGCAAATGGTCCAAGCTGGTTTGTCAAGCTCCGCTGCGCAACCATGAGTCTGAATCTATTGGCCTCAACTTTAGCGTATAGGTCCACTCCCCACGACCGGGGCTTACCAGAAATTGCTGCGCGGTTGCCCAAAGTTTGGAGCCACCCTCGCCAACTCCACCCACTCCAGCGTGAGCTGTGTCCAAGTGGACTTGCACTGGTCTTGACTTCAGTGCCTGCCTCGCTGGCAGCTTGTGTCTATGGGAAGTGCTTTCTAGCTCCTCCTGTGTCCAACGTGATGCCGACAGCTGCGCCCCACTCATGCGAGCGGGACGCTTTTCAGTTGGGGCATCTTCCGGTTTGTCCTGCTTCGTCTGCGTGTCGTCGCATGAGTAGGTTAGCATCAAGCCGTGACCGAATTCACCATCCGTGAAGGCTACCCAATGGACATCGGCTTTTCCTCCGTTCTCACTCGGCACAATGTAGTCCACATGCTCTGCATCAACGTCACTTCTGTGAACTGCCCAATCCGCCGACACCTTTCGGTCCGGATAACTCTCGCCAGGACCGCACCCAAGCCAAGTCATTGTTGACAGCTTTGCAGCAAGAGCAAAATCCAGCCCAACTCGAGGAATCGCCGCCAGAGGCCGCAGCGGTCCAAGTGGCGCCACAGAGATACACACCACTATCTGTTGAGCCTCGAAGGAATACTCCGATAAGGTTGATAAACACAGCCGCCCTTTACCTCTGAAGTGCTCCTGTACACGAAGCTTTGGACCTTCAGCAGCAGTGCTCCAGTCACCTGGCGATCACACATCGCAAGTGCTACGACGACTGACTCACAAAGTCCACAGGCCAAACCCACAGGCTAACTACTGCAGCGGACCAAGGCACATGCTATCACGGATGATTCCAGCTGATCCAACCCAGCAAGTTTCCACCTTGAAAGGTTATGTTCCACATACGGGCACTGCAGCCAACAAGGTCTCCAAGCCCGCGGCGATGCGTTGAGGGACAAGTAGCCATTGGCATCCAAAATCTGTCTGACGACTGGAACCTTTCAGCTGCATCGTGGCTGCCACTCGTGTCTCCGAAAACCTGCCAAACTCGTGACCCTGGCACTGACCCGAAATGCAGTCGGGCCTTGGTGAGCCAGGGCACAAAAAAGTCTACGCCACAACGGTCGTTGTCCTTGGCTCGCGGGCCCTGTTGGTGCCAGCTGTCAGATTGTGCCGGATGCTCTGAAGGCAAGGAGGAACGGAGGGTAAGAGAGAGGTGGGCTGGCGACGGTGGAGAGCTTGAAGACCCACGAGCCACGAGCTGAATGCATGCAAATGGGGTTCGTAGCCGAGTGTCAATTGTAGCACGCGTAAAGCCGTGCTGCGGCCCAGGCTTGGCAAGAAGCTCCCCATTCATCCCGCACAGGGACGTCCTCAGCCAAGGTAGAAAAGGGAAAAGCTAGAAAGGAAGACAACCAACATGCACCAACATGACAACAGGCCACTGAGTCTGCGGGAAAGCAGAGAAATTGAGGAGATGGCAGCTTGCCCGCTTCGAGTCTGGCCGTGTATGTAGCTGATTTGACCGTGGCAGTGTCGCCTACTTTCTCCAGTTTTGCTGGCCCTGACGCAGACGTCTGAAGAAGAGGCGGGAGCGAACCTGCCGGTCGAAGTGGACACGCGCACACAACACGCACACGCTGTGACAGAGGTTCGGTGGGTACTGTAGGTCATCAGATCAAGATTTGAGGAGTCCACGACGATCGCCACTCGGTGACAGATCACCACACCGTACAGCACCAATACAACCCGAGCAATGGTGTTGACCGACAGGAATGCCCCTGAAAAGGAAAATATCGAACCATAAAGGTCTTCCGATGAAACTTTAGGCCAGCGAAATCGCTTTTGAACGTCTATGTTCGCCAGGTCTTTGGACGTCTGTGTTCGCCAGATGCCAAACTGTCTCTAATTGCGCTGTTTTGCGCGTGCTTTTGGGAGCATTGGAGTGTTCTTTCGTGTTTTGTGGTCTCTCGCTCTTTCGCTACACTTGGCGAAACCAGACGACGACGATTTCGATGTGGCGAATGTGGATGTCCAAAAGTTTTGTTTCCTGCTCCCACCTTTGCTTATCCTCCTTCTTTGACTGCTTCTCCTTCTTATTCTCCTTTTCCTGCTCCTCGCACTGAGTTTCTCCTGTGCTTGGCTCTAGGCTCCCTCGGCACCGTCACCGAAGAGACCCCTTGCGCAATTCTCAAGGCCTCCTGCTCCTTGTCGCAATGGATTCTCCCCCCTCCCTCGTTTGACAGGAGAAACGGGAGACAGAAGTGCAAGGGCCTGAACACACCGTACCACCATCTGGATTGCCACTCACCGTCTTCGGAGTGGCCACCGTAAAGCAGGCATCGGCAACTACGAACCTAAGTCTGCTCACAGCTGAGTGACTCGTATGATGCTTAATTAGGCTTAATTTGTGTACACAGAGCCGCTAGGCAGCTTTTCCGGTATCAGCTGCGTTCCGTCACCTTGCCGCGCCTGCAGAAACAACCACTGGCCACATTGTTGAAGGGTCGGAGCTGTCATCTCCACCAAAATCTCAAGTTCGCGCGATTCGCCTACAAGGAGGCACAGGCAGTGTACAAGCAGCGAAGAAACTCTTTGCACAAGCCCCAGCCCATGCTCAAATGGATGCGCAGCGTTCCGAGCATGTCCTCACCTGGACGAATGCTTCCCATGTCCACATCCCCTCGGAAAGTGCACTTCTGCTCCACCCCAAGGGCATCAAAGGCGGACCTCAGACTCAAAACAGAGCCTCTGCGCAGCAGGAATCCTCAACTCAACCTTCTTTGCACGTCGAAGCCAACACAGGCCAGCCAACAGCAAAGCTTTGGGCCCAGAATGCATCTGCGTCACGCCACTAGCGACAAGTGCCCCAAATCTCGGAAAATGTACCGATTCTTGACCTGTGCGACTCTGTGCGACAGGGCCTAGTGGGTGCTCAGAGCTGAAGCTACAGCGTGTCACTGGGCGCGCCTGCTTCTGAGGGCGGCACAGAACCAGCCTACCACTACATGTGAGGGTCGCACAGAAACCACAGTCGCACTTCCTGCCCTGAATTTCTGGACCATCGAGGAGTACTGCAGGTCTTGACATGCGAACAAGAAAGTCTTGAAAATCGGGGATCGATTCTCGATTTCGCAGGATTGCCCTGGCAGGAGGTTTTCTGGGACTCGGGCGTTCACCCGGACCAGTCGATGTTCAGAATCATCCGCGGTCGATTTGAGAAGCTGGAACTCCACGGGTTGTTGCAGCCGTTTGAATTCCTGCCGGACACAAGCCAATCTCTTTGAGATGCCTTTTGGAGCGGCTTGGGTTCGAGATGCACAAGCCGCCTGGTACGCTGGATGCGGCGTGCGGTCGGGAAACAGAATCCCATCCAAGACAAAGTTTCGGTCTTGTCGTCCACTAGCTTTGCCAAAGTCTCCGCCATAAGCATATTCGCCTCACAATCCGTGGGTATTTATCCGTGGGTATTTGGGCAGATTTGGGAAGGCTCGCCCCTGGAAACTCAAGCACAGCAACGACAGGCTGCCTTCCAGCCAGGCTTCTCGCTGATGCTTTCCCTTCATATCGGGATCCAGGATCTGGGCCTTGTGCACCTTTTGGTACCCCCGAAGATTGAAAATGCCTATCCACCACCAGCGGCCAAATCCCCAGAGCAGGCACCTTCAGAGCACCATCAGCCCACTCCCAGACGAATCCTCCCTGTATGCATCGATGCTCCTTAACAGCCAGGAGCTTCCAGGTTTTCACACGTCGCTTTGTGCGAACCGAGCAAATACCGTCGTGCACCTTTGCCATGTTTTGTTTGCATGCCTTTCCGCAAGGTAGCTTGCGAAACAAGAAAGCAACACACCCCAAAGCCGTGTACCCGGTGTACCAACGCAGTACCCAATGCACATCCATGCACAACCACACGAAACGGAGCAAGCCCGAAGCAGCACACGATACTCTAGCACAAGCCCAAGCCAGTGCACCACAATCAAAGTCCGCCCTGGGTCGGAAGGGACTACTTGGCTGGCTTCGCGCACGTTGCTTGCCTGGAAGGCAGCATGTCCATTTCTTTGTTAGCATGCTTTCCCTGCTTGACCTTGCTTCTGTCAGTCAGGTGCATTGTAAGGGAAATCACCCTGCCTACGTTTGGACCATGTAAGGATTCGCTGACGCTCTGTCCCCGTAGCCACTCAAAGGTGCTTTGTGGCTTGTGACGTCCTAAAGGGTTACCTTGCAGAGCAACCACGTGCCCTTGGGATACGGGTCTTAGAAAACAAATTCGAGGGGAGACACATTGAGGAATTCTCTGCAGGTGGACACTGCAGCATCTTTGCAGGGTTCTCTGGAAGGGTTGGTACGGATATTCGGCGCGCTTTTCTCGGGATGTTCGCCGGGATGGTCGGGGGGCAACACTTGGCTCAGGCAAAAACCCTTTCCGAAACAAACTCCCACTGTGGTAAACGTTCTCATGTGTAAAAAAACCTGCACGTGTACGACAGCTCACGACCCTTGCAGACGTTATGCCCTCAGCCGTGAGTCAGGCGCAGAGGACCAAAACAGCTCCCAGTAGGAGTGTAGGGAGCCGTTCGAGTTGCCAAGGGCATGGCTGTATTCGCAGAGGATGACCTGGCCCGACCCTCTTAGCACAGTGCACATAGTGCTCAGTGTTCATACTCCCAGCTTGCTGGGATCGCAGCTGCTTTAGCAGCAAATGTGTGGACGGAGGCTCTGCAGCCGGTTTGCAGGTCGAGTTCTGGGGGCCGCCAAGGGTAGGATCATCGGTGGTGACCAGTACCTGAGTTGAATACAGCCTAATACTACGACGAAGAGATGCGCAGAGACAAAATACCGTCTGATGGCGCATCATGGTTTGATTTGCAGCAGCGCCGCATGGGACATATGATGTCACTGGATGCACCTCGCCACCAAAGCACCATAGGAAGTCAGAAAACTGCTCTCAAACTGCCAGAACCCTGAGCCTTGCCTTGCCCATCTCCGCAGAGCAGGACAGCATCGTTGATACAAGTTGCCCCTTCATACTGGACCGGACGTTGCTGGGGATCCCACCGGCGCAAAGACTCCGCGCCCACAGCGAAATTTGGTCCCCACCCACTCTCGTTTCCGAGGGACCAGGCAATCACGCAGCTGTGGTTCTTTGCCCGCTGGAACATGTTGAAATGCCGGTGAAGGAATTGCTCCTGAAAGGCCTCCCGCGAGAAGCACCAACATTAAATCTACAGTGAAGCCAGAAAGGCCTCCCCACCAGAAACCTGGCTAGCCTGGTCACAAGCAGGAAGCGAGATGGCGACGTTCTCCACGAAGCCATGAGTTTCGATATTTGCTTCGTCAACCATGTAAAGACCATGTTCGTCGCAAAGCTCGTACCATCTGGGATGATGAGGATAGTGAGAGTTGCGAACTGCATTGAAATTCCCCTTCTTCCTTTGCTGGAGGGGGCAAGCAAAAATGCAAGCTATGCAACCTGGCCAACTTAACATCATGCGGACGAGGCTCAAGAGCTCTATATCTTTGAGCATGTCTTCGGCATTAATCGCCTTCCCGCGGTGTGGATGCATCTCGTGCACATTGGCACCTGCAACCACGATCGGGCGGTCGTTCACGCAAAGCTGTCCTTCGACAATTGTCACTGTACCTTTTCGGCATGCATCGCAAAGCAAAAGGGTTTGACAAAATGCTGACAAAATGCAGTGGCCCAACTGGTACCCAGCAACAAATTGCAATCGAAGGCACGAAAACCAATCTGCACACGTTCAACCTGGATCGGTGTGCCAGAAGGCTCCGTGAGCTCAAGCTGTAGCGTGTACAGGAAGGGAACCTGTCAGAAACGAATGGAACGAGTGCTCAATGACTTGGACATGCCTCCATGATGCTGATCGCGTCTGCTACAAGTACCATGGGTTTTAATGAGCGGGGGCGGACACAAACTATCTCACCAAATTGTCCATCATCTCCAGTGGCGCATTCGGTTCTTGGGCGCGGGTCATCATTCTAAAGGTGTGGCCTTCCGAGGTAGACAATGTTCGCCAGGCACGTTTGACGAACATGGACGATAAAGGAGTCTAGTCTGAAACAGGTTGAAGCTTAATGAAATTGGACAAGGTCTGCAAATTTTGAAGGCCCCTGGAAGGACAAGCCACTGAGCCTGCCCAGCCCCTGTCGTAGCTCTTAAAGCTCCACTCAGAACTCTCAGAACTTATATGCCTTCAAAGGTCAGAATCGAGAGTGCTTTTGTACCAAGACGCTTTGCAGTAAGAACCCTTCTGCAGTTGAACAGCTCTGCACACAAGATGAGCGAGTCCAGTTTTGGCAAGCACCCTTTTCAACATGGCCAGATTGTGCCTCAGCGCTCCATTTCTGAGCTCCTGGAACGCGCAATTCTGCTTCTACACCTGCAGTGGCTGCAAGATTTGCTGGCACAGGGCAGGGGCCAGCACAGGTCGTTCGTTTGAAACCAGAGACTGGGCGCGGCACTCCAAGTGGGTCCGTCAGTCGTGGACTGGGGCGGAGTAGCTGGAGTGGCGCGTGCGGTCGCAGCAATCTCAGACTTCCCTCCGAGTAAAGTGACCTTGAGAAGCTTGTTGCTGGCGGCTGGCCCGGCAAGCTGACACTGAACTTGCAAGATGCCGTCATCAGCTTCGTTGAAGAAAGTTCGAGTCTGATAGTCCTTGGAACTTGGCACGCCTCCTTCGTGTGGAGTGAATGACATGCCGAGCCTGCTCCCGAAGGCAACTGTTTGGGTCACTCAGTTCGGCTGAGATTCGGCAATGCGGCCTGCTTCAGGTACCTCGCAGTTCCGCATTGTTCCGGCGGGGCAGATACGAACGGCATCGAAAGGCCGCAACCAAAGCAACAGCAACAAACACAGCAGCCAAGCGGCGAAATGCAACTCAACCTCACGATGGATCCCGAACAGCCACCACTGGTCCTGATCCTGGCAGCATCACACCGAAATGGATCGGCCTAGACTTCGGCTCTTTCGACAGCCCTTGAAGCCTTGGGTGGTGCGGCTCTTCCCAAGCACACAGCAAGAGCATGCAAAGAGCCCCCAGGCCTCGAGGTACGACCCATCGCACCAGCTTGGCACCATCGCCACAAGCACCTGGAAAAACATGGACTGCGCACCTGTCCCGACCCGGTGAACGTGCAAGATAACTGCAAAAGATCATAGAACCAACTCCAAATATGAAACTGCATGGGTCCAAGTCGCGTGATCCGTGCAGTCTGGCAAGTGCTGCTCAGACAGCAAGGCGGCTGTCGCTGAAGCACCTGCGAAACGACGAGGGCAAGAAGCATCCACAAGGGCCACTTCGCAGCACTCGGGGGCAGCTGACGGGGCCCTTTTATCATGATTCTCCGCAAATTTCCGGCCATCAGCTTCAACAACATAACGCTGATGACAAGCACCCCCCCCCCCCCCCCCCCCCCCGCTCCCGTTTCTCGCCTACAGACCTCACTGCCCTTTAACTCGAAATGCTCGCATGGCCGGATCAATTTGGCTGCCCGTGGTCCGATGGAGGCCTCGTGAATCGACGGCTTTTTGACTGCCGATGAGCACGTCTGTGATGTCAAACTCGGCAGCTGTCATCGAATCTTGAGAGTACCCAACATACCTGAGGATGCCCAGAAATCATGGTCTCAAGGGAGCATGGGCGCAGCCGCCTATATAAATCCAGGTAGCTGGCCATCCACCCACACCATCACAGCGGAGCCCACAGCATGGAAAATCAAGTGGGCACGCCGGCCTTGCAAGGCCTCTGTGGGAACATTGAATGTTGTCCGATAAAGACCTGCAGCTGGACTCAGTTTCGCGCAAAACCACGAGTTTGCTTCTTTTGTGCTCTACACTCTACACTCTACACTCTACACTCTACACTCTACACTCTACACTCCACAGTCCACAGTCTGCACTCTACATTTCTATGCACACGTGCCAGTTGGCCCTGCCTGTGGGATTGTCGTGCGAAACATAGGGTGCCAGGAGCACGGGTAGCGAAGTGTAGGGGAAGGAGATGTTGGTGTAGACCGGAGGTGACATGCCCAGCATCCTTTGTTGAGCAGTACAAGCAGCCTTCTTGGCTCAAGAGCTCCAAAACGGACAACTTGATCCGAGCGGCTGCCAGTTTGATGGAATGGGGACTTCATTCCACTTGCTATCATCGAAAGACAGCGCTCTGGCCTGGGCATAAGCCTCGATTTTGAAGGATTCGAGAAGCAAAGAAGGCATGTGAAGCCTGTATTCATGTATTCACCACATTCACCATGCAACAAGATCTGGCCTCTGCCGAGTGTGGATTCCGAAACAGCTGCAGACGCCAAGGCTTGCCGCCGAGATCCTGGATGAAGGGCGACCGTTGCCCTTCGGAGGCAACCTGAGCTGTGCCATCCCTGCAGGCACTTGCGGCGTGCGGGGGGGGTGCTGCTCATCCCACTTTTGCACATGAAGAGGCTTTGGTGTCCGGGAAATAGCGCAACGGCGCATGCGCACGCCTCGGCTGCCAGCATGGTTCTGCGCACCGTTCTGATGTCACCATGTCATCGGCTGTGCTGCAACCTCTGGCAACAGGCACTTAAGATCCCGACAGCTTCCTTGGCTCACAAGGATTGCATCAAAGAATTGGCAATTGGCAACCAAGGGTACAGACCTCGAACCGAATTGAAAACAAGGGAGGACTTGCCTCATGCAAACGCCCAGCACTCTGGCTTATCCCCCTCCGTTGCAGAGCATCCATCACATCTCTAGACGAAAGCGGCCCATGTCAAAACCGACAGTAAGATACCATCCGAGCTAGTTTCTCGCGACGAGTTCACGAAATTACCGGTGGGAAAACCCAGGGGCGAACGCTCCCCATTCTGCTATTTCGTCCCCCTTCGTGCCATGTCCGGTCAGCTGGATCTCGGGCGGCAGGCGGACAGATGATCTAACCGAATCAAACTTTTGCAGAGAGGGCTACCGGAGGCTTAAGGAGTCTGATGGAGCGCCGGCAAGGGTTCCTGCGCGCAGAGAGTGTAAGGATGCTCAAAGGCAGGTGTCTGATGAGCGAAGACAGCAGGATCTTCCCAAGCACGTCTGCGACAACAGCGCCGCGGAAGCCACATGATACGTTTCAGAAAGATGACCTGAAGGCACCATGATGCACCATGACACTGCGAGGCTTTAGCTGCCGAAAGCCCATCCCTACCAGCGTAAGAACAGAGAGAGAGAGAGAGAGAGAGAGAGAGATAGAGAGAGAGAGATAGAGAGAGAGAGCGAGAGAGAGAGAGAGAGAGGTGCCTGCAGCGCACAAAGCTCCAAGTGTAGACTGAGCAAATGCTTCCGAGGCACAGCTTTGAGCAACAGCAAGCGCCATTTCCAGGCATGCCAGTGGCAGAATCCCAGAAATATCACGGCAACAGCTGCTCCAAACCAAGCGCTCATCCTTGGTGATACGGGCTGTGCGAGAAACTTGTTCTTTCATTCCGCTCATAGGCATGAAGGAGCAAACAGATCACGGTCGATCGAGCTTGCATGAAAGAGTCAGCTCATTCATGTAACCAAAAGCCACGCGTTCACTCCATGAGTAAGTTCCTCTGCTGTATCACTGTATCTATTCCTTGTGTGTGCGTGTGTGTTGCAACGCACTGGAATCTCCACGCGTGAATCCGGTGGCTGCCATAGGTACAAGATAGTTTCAGTTTCGGTTTTTGACTTGACTGAACATGGTCTGCGGCTGTAAAAGCAACACAGCTGCGGTCTGCGGTCTCCTCACGAACTGCTATGGCAAGTGCTGTTGCAGGCACCCAGCCTAAATCTGGAATCTCGCGGTCCCGCAAATGAAAAGGGCTGTCCAGCTACTGCATTATCTGCACTTGATCTCAAAGCTCCAAAGCAGCAGAAGAGTCACTAGAAGCATAGTAGTCCCTCATCTACGGCAATAAGCACGGCCAAGCTTTGCTATACTACGCTCCTTCGTAGTACTACCGCTGTGCAAGATTTCCGTCGCCAGCCTATTGTCTGAGGCTGGAACTCGTAGCCAAGGCCCAATCCGACCAACACAGCCGATATCGTCAGAAGGAAGGTGTTCAGTCCCCTTAGTTGCGTTCATGGTGGGGGGCGCTCCGCAGGTCGCACAATTCAGGCATCCTCAGGGCCAAACTCGTAGTGGTCCGGACCACCCTTGGTCCCTGAAGGCCTGCCAGAATGCACACCCGGAACACTCGAAAAAAGCATGGCCGCACAGCGGGCATGGCAGGTGTTCTCGTGTGCCTCCCCGGGCCACCGGGGATGGTTTGAACAGAGGCCTGGGTGCTCACGGCTTCTGGGCCAGCGATGACGTCCTCCGTGCACGCGTTGCAACCAACATGCACGCGCACAGAAAAGCACCCGCTTTGCATGGCCTAAGACCCTGCATGAACAACATGTCTTCAGGATGATGAAACTCACAGGTTTTCTTGGCACAATCTGAGCCATCTCGGGTGTGAGATAACATGGTGATACTTTTTCCAGCTGACCAAGTTCCTTACCATGCACACGCCTTACCCAAACGCCCCAGAAGCATCACCCACCCATTGTGCTCAACCCGAAGCAACATATTCTATTCTGCTGCCAACATCCTGGGAGCATCTGGGAGCATGCTCTCCGAGCATGAGCGCCGTTCACTCATAGAAATATTATATATATATATATATATATATATATATATATATATATTATTATTATTATTATTAGTATTCTTATTATTTTTTATTCTTATTCTTCTTATTATTATTATGTATGCACTTTCCAAGATCCACTTCAAGATGACAATAACACTCGTTCGGCAAGAAGCTGCAAGATGTAGGGAGGCCCCATGTTTCTGGGGGTTCAGCGCGCCCCTGCTTGCCTTGAGAAAGAAGCAATTTGAAGCCAAGCGGCGAAAATATTTGAGCTAAATACATGCTGCTTGCCACCTAGTTTGCTTGCTTTCTGCATGTGCTTATCCACTGGGGTTTGCTTCTGTTCTGCCTTTCTACTTTCCTGCCGGATTGTTGTTTCTTCCTGTGCTCTTGCTTTCACTTCAGGTTCTCTGGCTTCTCGGCTCCCTGGCCTCTTGGCATTTTCCAGGTGGGCATGTTGGCCTTCTTGTGGAACAGGGAGGAGCGGGTATGAATATTGTGCACTGCTTGTCCAAGTAACGTTGCATCTCAGAACCACACCTACAAGCAAACAGCAGGAAAACAGACGCACTGCCCTCCTGGACACAGCCCTCCCCGACTCACTGCCCTCCCGACTCACCGCTCCCGGGACTCACCGACTCACCGCCTCGACGTTCTGCAGGCACTGCATCAGAGTTAGTTGGCAACATCCGACAAACCACTCCGCAAGTGTCCAGCTGAACTCAACAACGAGCAAGTGAACCTAGCACATCAATCACGGCACTGAAGGTCAATGTGGCCCCACATGTCCTGGTTCACCTCCGGGGGTGGCGGCTCTGGTGGAGTCGATGCACCCGGCTTCGCCTCTGCCGCTGCCCGGGCGTCAGGGGCAGGGCCTGGCGCGTTGCCCTGAACGCTCGGAGTGCTCGGAGCACTCGGAGACGAGCCGACTGCCTTCCTGAAGGCTCTCACTCAGTGGCAATGAAGCAAATGAAGCAAGTGGCAGAGTGTCAGTGAGGCAATGACGCAAGTCTGCACTTTCCGGTAAGGCTCGCACGCAGGGGCGGCTTCTTCAAAGGATGTCGGCTTTGGTAAAGAGACTGCTCGGTGGCTTTCTCGGAAGCAAAGGAAGTCATGTTCAGCAACCGTCTGGGCGAGCAAGCCGCGTGGCATGGCCTCGATTGCACACGAAAACTTGTGGCCAGTCACAACGCTAAGCCCTGCAAAGCCTCGTCGCAGCTGACACTCGAAATGCAGCGCCGAGGGCGCGCTCAACGTCTGGTCATCTAGTTTGCTCGAGCTTCGCCATTTGCGTAGGTTTGCACCTCTTTTTGCTATGCTGTCAAGTATGAGAGAAGCAGTGGTAAAGACATCACTAGTGAGCCTTTCGCGCAGCAACAATAATCAAAAAGGTCTGCCGGCAACTCTCGCGGTTTCCGTCAGACCGTGGGCTCAACAGCACCGCTCTGTTTGCGCGAGGGCCAAGAGCATGCGTACGGGTCTCGCACTATGAGCTATGGACTGACTGATATGCCAGCTTGTGGACACCTTTCGTTTGAAACGTGCCGGAGCACACCTGGTGTGTGCATGGTTCCGCCTGTGCCTTCTTGATCTAAAGTCTAGACTCAGCGCGCTGAAACGTGAACCTTTTGGTTATTCCGTCTAACATTCTGAATCCGGCTTGCCTGCGCAGCCAAGAGCACACGACTACCTGTCAACTCAGGATTGACGGCAGCCTTTTTCTTTCTGCGCTTCTTTCAGAACCTGCCGTGACACATTGACAGGTGGAGCCGCGCAACTTCAAAGCAATATCAGTGTCAGCAAAGCGAGCCGCAGCCTGAACGAGTTCAGGATTGTGAGTGCTCGCCAGGTCCTGCCCCTTGACTTTCGAGACCTCAACAGTATGCAGGCAGGCTACTCTGCACCTGGTGCCTCACCAATCGTCCGTCTGTGCATCCGACATCATACGCGGTCAATGACCTTGGCCGGCAGGTGTTGGCAGCCACTTTGCGCAATGATGCAATCAATCGACGAAACATCTCGCCAGGCAGCTTGTTGTTCTTGACCTCCGGCTCAGCACCATTCCTGACAGAAAAGATGCCGTCGAGACACATCCAACAATGAGTTGGAAGAACCTTTTCCCCATCAGCCACTTCACTAATCAAAGACTCCGAATATAAAATTTACACTACTACCCTACACCAACAACAAATACATTTAATACTCATAGGCCAGATCCGACCCGACAACACTGGTGTTTCCCACATGGTTTCGCTTCTGCTCCATATGCAGTTAAACACCGCTAACATCCTCAATAGGTAAACTAGTCTCTTTTGTCCGGCTTCCTTGAAAGTCCGACTTTACTCTCATACTACCCATCGTTTTAACGTATTTCTTCTTGAAATCATCTTCTTTCTTCGGATTTCATGAGCATAACAGCCAATACAACAATGGCACAAGGAACGAACCCCTAGCAAAGCGAGACAACAAACTCACAGACATCCACAAACGACGGACACAACATATCCAACAAATACACGAACAAATGAGAGCACAGCAACGTAAAGAAAAGTGCACATACCCTGGTGAAGCCCCACAACCAAACCAAATCTGGTTGGAATGAGATAAAAAAAGACACCTATATAATTTGCAAAGACTTGTCTGGCTATCTCATCAACGACGAGATGAATTGCCGAGACCCCACATGATCAGTCGAAGTGAATGACCGAGTGAGTGGGCCTGCTAGCGAGTGAGTCAAATGGCCCACAAATCTTTCTGCGGCCGACGAAGACATCATCGCCACTCTCTGTGAAGGGGTCTGAAATGGCGGGGAAAATTTTTGCCACCCTTAGGAAGACAGTGGCCCCAGGGCCCGGACACTCAGTGGGAACGAAATTTTGGGAAATCAAACAGGTGGTCACCCAACGAAAAGCTAAGACTCGGAACCGAACAAACAACTCCATCGACAAACTTTATCAGCGAGAAACCAACAGGTCTCGAACAACATGTCGAAAGCAATGCATGTGTCAGTGTTGTAGTGAGTCCTCGCTCAACCCACCACAAAAGCAATACTACAACGAGATTAACATGGAACTGTCTAAGGATCATAGATCGGTTTGTCTACTTTCAATACAACCCCCGCATACCCAGAAAGAAGATGTCCGTCCTGCCAGCGTGCAATCATGTTCGAAAGGTGTTCACACATGCATTCAACAACGTCACAGCTAGACGAAAGCACCAAAACATCAACCAGAAGATATTCGTGCGAGGGTCTGCGCGAAGCCTTACACTACCAGGTCGGATGGGTGGGATGTACATCTACGAGGGAACCTTTCCCCAACTTGAGATGACAGAAACACAGTTGGGATATGGGTGAGCTACACAGGTCTTGTTACAGGGAGGTAGTGGGGAGATGTAGGAATATAGGGGAGCATAGGGGCATTAGAGGAATTATCGTTCAACTGGGTGGCTGGTGGCATGACCCCAAGTCGGCAAGGGTCCCACTCACTCCGTTGAGCAGGTGCCCGGCCTGAGAAGAATCAATGCGCAGTCCAGGTTTCCAGCATACGTGGCCGCCTCAGAAACCATCTCAGAGTTGGGACGACAAGGACAGTAGGCTCAGCAGGTGCTCTCAACAGACATCCTTGTCGCTGAGCTGACATGTTCGAGATCCATGGCCCACGAAGTGGACACTTAAGCTGTGCACGTGGAGCGGAGTGTTGCCTTCCATGTCCTTCCATGTACCATACTTTGACTTTGGCTCGTGAGGATTCGCAAGTGCGACATTGGCACGGTGTCTGCACTGGGCTTTCTTTCCACTTGCCAAACACATAGATTCCAAATATATGTGCAGGACGGCAGACCGACCTGAGCATCCATGAGCTGCGGCGCAGTCTGAACGAACAACTGCGCCACCTACTTCGCAGCCAGCACCATCCGCACGCTCGAGCTGAACTGAACTCGCGCCCATCTCCGATCGGAATTCAGATGGCCTCCGTCTGCCCGGAACTACATGCCTCACAAGCACACAAGCAGCAACAACTCAAAAGAGACCGCCTCCCAACAAGCCACCCGCTGCGCAAACCGCTCAACGCAACAAGTTGGCAAGCTCAGCTTCGTGCGAGGTGGAGCCCACTTTCACCGTGGGAGGTCAAAGCCTCAGCCACAGCAAGTTGCATTCATCCGTCGAGTCGCACACAGTGACAAGCAGTCGGGCAGGCACACAAAAGTCTGCTTTCATCTCCATGAGCAACTGGACCTTCAAGCAGAGAACTCTGAAGGAAGGAAAAATAATTTTAACACACCACGTCGCACCGGCACTCGTGGGCCACTCTCGGGGGCAGACGCATCTTATGCAACCAGATGAACCTCAGAGTGGCGAAGTTTGGGTCTCATGATATTGCTGCCTCCCATTGTTGGCATTCTACTGGCTCAAGTCTCCTCTCAAGATTTCGCGCCCAGGTGGCCGAGGACAGATAAGGATGTGGCAAGCAAGGTGCATGGGAGACATTCCTTTCAAGTTGCGGACCTGATCGCGACAAGAACACATCGCACCCGCACATGCGAAGCACCCCTTGAGTCATCCGAGTCGAGCCATCAGCCTCGTGGTGGGCAGAGGCAGAGAGGAGGCACTCCAGGATCTGCCGCTTCACTGTGTCTCGGCCACCCTCCTGTCACAGGCCCCACTCTCCGTGCTATCGTCTGTCCAAGCAAGAACCTCGAGCCCTCGAATGATGGCATTTGCCACTTGGTGGGCAACCGAAATAAAACCGTAGCAAACGCGAACCACGGCCCGCCTTGGCCAACGCTAAATGCATCGCCCTGAGGGAACTAAGGAGCAGTCAGAATCACCACTGCAGGAGCAAGTCGCCAGAGAGCTACATGAAAAACATGCTTGAGGACGGGCAGCAAGCTAAGGAAAGCACGTGTTTGCCTGAACATCCAGCAAGTTCGGGTCAGCGCCAAAAAGGCAAAGAACCTGGAAACAGGCATACTGACAACCACAATTCAGGCGGCATGCCGACACGTTTGCTCTGCGATAGGAAGCTCGCCTCTACGAGTTCAGGAAGCTGATTCTCGCATGCAAAGTGGAGCGCAGACTTGCCCGCCAGGGTCTGGCAGTCGATGTTCGCTCCTGAGCTTTCAATGCAACAGCTGCCCATTCTGAGGGGCTCCGGAACTACTGAGGACGGCTCCATATTCTAGGAGAAGGTTAGCGATCCCTCGCCAATTGCTTTTTCTCAGGCACACCTTAAACCATCAGGGCTTTGGAAGCATTTGGCATTCAACAAACGTCACACAAGTCACACAGCAGGATCAACAGGGCAGCACCTTTAGAGCTTCACAGCCAATCCAGCAGCTTCTCGCGCAAGGCTGTAAGTTCTTGGCATAGTGCAGCGGTGCCGCTCCAATGTAATTCACCGTGTTGGGGTTGGCCTAGGGCGGCTCAACACTCCCCGGCTTCCTTGCCTAGTCTAGTGAGGTGCGTACTACAAATGTTCTGGGTCTCCCGGCCATGTGCTCCAAGAGGCACGACACCGTCGCAACTTCGTTCCTCGGCGCCTGTGCTCGAAACGGTAGGAGATTCTCTGCTTCCGACCTGGGGGGGGTGTTCTGCGAACGGTGCCTCCACGGCCACATGCAAAGGAGTGTTTCCTTCGATGTCAACCTTCAGTCAGCATCTCCTATGCACGACACACAGTTCTAAGCACACGCCCAGCGCACCTCATCCACTGATGCACCTGCACTGCAAGATGGCAACACCATGCAACACCTAGACTCCGATTACTAGATGTGTGCTGTCTGCTAGAACTGGCATGGCCTCCATTGAGGATCGCATGCTCAATGCCCGATCTGTCTCCCTGCACAAGTTTGCACTGCACCAAGAAGTACCAGGCTATGGCAGGAATTGCCTTGCGTTCCACTGGTTAGCAACTTGTCGATCAGTCAAGATGCTCTTTTGACGAAAACTGCCATATCGATATGGCGCTTTGGATGTTGCCGCTTCAAGTGAATTAGCGGCTGCAGGCTGCTAGAACAGCTTCTTGAAGTATTGATTGGCATTCAGTCTGCTGCTCAGCAGACGCAATGCAGTGAAGGATTAAACAGTAAATCCGTCACGTCAGACGCTACGCTTGCTCACCGATGTACTTTGTACAAAGTGGACGGCGCACAACCGATCTGTCATGGATCGTCATGGAAAATCATCATTGGTTCGCAAGGCCAATGTCACCAAAGGCCGGTTCTCTGCAGGGTCCTTAGCAGATGAACTTGTGAACAATTATTGAGCTGTGGCTGACATGCCTCTCAACTGCCGATGAGTGTCTTTTGAGCTCCCTCATAAGCTCCAAAGAAGATGAAGCCTCCGATTGTGATCCAACTAACGCGAGGCCCGATTCCCCTGAAGAGTCCTGGCACGAAGGTCAAAGAAGTACACGGAACAAGTACAGCCAGCCCTCAGTGCTCATCTGCATCCGCTGAGTGCTGCAAGGATTGCAGCCGACGTCCTTGGATACCTTCTTCTGCCGCGATGACTCTGACAGTCTGGATGGTGCCATCGTACTTTCGGGCCACCTAAACAAACATCTGACAGCATGGGTGACGAGGACAACGTGGAAGACACCACAGGCTTCCTCTGTGTGTGTGTGTGTGCGTGTGTGAGAAAGAGAATGGGTGGCCTTTGAGCCCAGCAAGGGAGCAACATAGATGTCGCCGACGCACTGAGTGCCCAGCACCCTCTTCCACCTTCTCTAACATGATACGGGTCTTGGCCACGTCCAGGGGCGTGGTGGTGCCTGAGCTGAGCATGAAGGACAACTGCCGCGCTTTCAAGCAGTACCGCCAGCATGGCATTGCGGTATGACTCGGCATGCCCTCATGTACAACCACGCAGTGGCAAAGAAGAAGTTGCAACCTTCAATCTCAAATCTGATACAAGGCAAACTACTCTTGCTATCTCTTGCTGCTTCGATTCCGGTCATTTAACTTTCCTGGCAGGCGACCACCAGCTATGCCACCGGCCAGCGAGCCGCAGGCCGCGCCTGATTTTGAGGCAACCGAGCTGCATGTGCAGTGGCTCTTTGGTGATCCTCATTTGCATGGCCTTGAATTGCAGTTGTCTCGCTGCCTTGTCGCTCAGCTATGATTTTCTTGAACCTCCACGGGAGCTTGACTTTCTCGCTGAGCAAATGCTTGCAGGCTGTAGCACGGTAGGCATTGCAGCCCATGGACCTCTCGTAAAGAGGAAACTGGATAAACGAGAAGGGGATTTCTCGCATGACCTTGGCGGAGAGCCGTCAATTGGGAGGCAGCACGGCTGAGCACTGCCCGGTACCACCAAGTCAGTTGTAAGGAAAAGCTGGGAGGGCCAACCATAGTCCCATAGCCTACGTAGAAGGCTCCAAGGCCTCCTGTCCTATAGATGGACGCAATGGCTTCCGTCATTCTCCTTAAAGCAGAATTTTCCAACATGTGTGACTCTGCGGTCATGTCCATGTCCGATGCGGCACTGGTCTGGTACGCACAAGCCGGATTCCACCCAGACTCGTGTACCTGCCGACCTGCATGTTCTGGGTGATGTTAGCCGTTGGCACCTAAGCTGCAATCTGGCAGCTGTGCTCCTCTTGTGTGAATTTTGGCCACCGCTCAAGTGTTTCGAGTTGTTTCCAATCCAAACGAGCTGGGTTTACAACCTAGGCGGTCTCGGGGCATCGGCCAGCCAACATGCGCTCGCCTAGACTCTAGACCAGTCCTTCTTCGGGGCAGGCCAATCGGACAACAGGGACACCCAGGGCCCAGGGCACCAAAGACAAGAGCACCATACAAGAGGATACGTGCAAAATCAAAGATACATGAGTAGAACATCGAACTCGAGCAAACCTAAAGACGGGGCCAAGAAGACTAGACACAGCGTTGGGCTCGAATGAAGACGCTACACTGTGCTCATGGCTGACTGCAGCAAAACTACCCTGACCAGACAAGCCATTGCCTCCCCGCAGGAGGACGCTCCTGCGTGCTGAGTCCAGTGTTCCTGCACACAGTTTGCCGCTTCTCATGCCGAACACACTGCGTCCGCCAAATCGCCAAGTAAGTCTCGTGTCAACACTGGGCTACTGGGACCTGATTCCCCGAGAAGTTCTTGGACACCTGCGGCACATCTTCACCATCAAACTTTCCGTCAGAAAACAACCCTCTTGACTGGGCAACTCTGCATGTCTACAGAGCCCTCTGCAACGAAACAAGTATTTGGCACGCAGCTCAGTATTTGCAAGCTGGCCTGTGTAAACAAAGCCTGGTAGCAGTGTCAGGAGCTGAGAAGGATGGCCTGGCCTTTTTCATGGTCTCGTACGTCGAAAAGAACATGGCCGCACCGGGCGCGGAGCCAATTGCAGCTGAGAGAATACCTTTGTAGGCTCCACGGAAGCCTCCTGGCAAGCTCACAAAGCTCAAAGCGAAGTCCTGACAATGTCCTACATGCGCAGCCAGGCCTGAAGCCCAGAATCCCTTTTCGGATTGCAGCCGCGTCCGGAAGGTGTCAAGCGGGTGCAAAGCACAGTCCACGGTCGTACCAGCTATTCCTCCGGCAATCAATGCCTCGGATGTTGACAACTTCACGGTTGAAGAGCAAGGTCTGACATAGCACTGCCGGGCCAGGTTGCAAGCGTGAAGGGAACACCATCATCTTCCGCCATGCTGCAGTCACAGTGGCCAAAACTACGGCACGACCGGCGTGAGCCCCAAAACTCAGCAGTTGTGCGAGACAAATGGCAGCGGACACATTCGAAGACTGCATGCACCTGCAATGAACATGGGCTGGATCCTAGCCTTTCCCCCAAACCCCAAGCCCATTCAAAGCTGCAGCACCTGCCTTTCTGCACAGAGGAATGAGCACCAGCCGGCTTGCAGTCGCCGGACGCGGTGGCGCGATCACGGGCGCCTTAGATTCTCCATCACCGTGCTTCAGCACGGATTTTAAAGAAGCTGCCCGGCCCGACCCAAGAAGTTGTAAGTGCCCGGCAGGTGCAAAGCCGTGCTCAGCAAATGTAGCTTCCTGTTTATTGGCGCCAGACATGGTCGGACTGGTCGCAACTCGCCAGGTGGCGGCACCAACAACCATGGCTTTAAAGCAGAATTCAGGTCTTGCATTCTGCGTGCTTGAATAGCCTCGTCAGGGTGAGCCGTGTGCTTTGAAAAGAACCTCAGCTCGAGTTCATCTACGACTACTGACTACTTAGACTCGACTGCTGCCCTTGTTGCCCAGCTCGTTGTCCATTTTTTTTGAGGAGGGACTGCAGTGCGATTTGCCCTCACAAGCGCCCGGCGAAGCCTCTGACCGAGCACTACTGGCTGACACCAGAAGCAAGCTGCACGTGTCGCAGCCACACTACCGGCACAACTTGAAACGTGACCACCTTCTGATTGCTTTGGTATATCTGACGACTGCACTCATAAAGCTCAGTTTCACGACTTATACACTCTTCTTCACTGATGAGGAACTGAAAGGAAAGCCAGCATCCCACCATTTAAAGGTACTTAACGCAAATCTCTACTGCATCACTTCAAGCACCACCAGCTCGTTGTCAATAAAACGAAAAACTTGTTAGCCGAGCAGCTCTGACCCGGCGCAGTCCTCTGGTGGCGGTGGAGGTGGGGGCGGAGGCGGCGGCTCCATTGTGCCTTCTTTAAGGGGCTCATACTAACTCATACATACTCATACTACATCTTCTGTCACTCCAATGGCTCTTTCCCGCACGTCGCTCAGTGCCCGGCCCGTCGTTCCACCGTCGGCTCATGTCATGTCGTGAGCCGAAACAGCTTCACGAGGCCACCGGATGGAGCACACGCAGTCATAGATTGCGAGAAACTTCTCATACGGCACAGCACAACACGGCACAGTGCAGAATATTCGTTGCATTACCTTACATTACCTTAAATACAAACATGCCTACATGAGTCAAAACTTTATCGGGCTTATGCCTGCACATGAAAAGGGAAAAGGCTGCACCCTAGGGCCTAGGGCATTAAACTGTGCAGGCAGAAGGCCGCCAACTGCTTTTAGTTCACAAACTTTGTGGTCCAAGATGTGCACAAATGGTTTCACTGTTAGAGGACGATGGGCCAGCAGCATCGCTTCATACAGTACTGAATGTCAAGCAAACATGTTCCCGAAATACTTCTGCAGCCTGCAGTATTCACCACACATGCACGCTTAACTGGTTGGTGTGCGAAGATGACGTAAGTTTACAGGGGCATGCCGCACACAAATCTGTCCAAGCAATTCAGGACGCACGTTGGTGGAACCAGATGCAGGAAACGCCAAGAAGTCAGCGGGCATCACATTCAGCGGAACATGCACTCGAGCTTGGCAGCATTGACTTCAACTAGAACGAACAGTTGCAATTTGCAACGTCTGTGTTGCACAGGCTTTGCCTCGTCGAGTTCTTGCGGCTCACATCAGCACACAGTCGCTGACCGACATGTGTACTTCACGCACCCTGCATGTGGAGGTTTAGGTGGGCCGTGGCTCAGGTCGGGTCAGAGACCTTGCGTGTGGTCGTTGGTGAAGAATGGACCTGGCATTGAAGCACGAATGCAGCACACAGAAGCTAGCCTCCTCCCTCCTGCGCTCATGTACTAAGCCCTCAGTTGTTGAAGGCTTTTCTTCTCCTTCTTCTGCTTCTGTTTCTTCTTCTTCTGCTTCTTCTCCTACTTCTTCTTCTTCTTCTTCTTTGGCTGATTTCTTCCTATTTTCCAATGAGCATCACGCCGGCGGCTTAATTGACATGCCTACCCTGCTTAGAGGGCAGCGAGAAAGTCAAGACGTCAGACAGCCCATTGGCTGTCCAGAGCACGTGTGCACTCGCCCAAGAAATGTTGGCCTGGAGACGGCCGAGGCGATGGTCGCGAAAGATGAGAGACATTTTGAGATACTGTACATCCTGTCCAGAAAGCCAATTGGCCTGGCTATCGACGCCATGTTTCCAACTAACACTGGACCAAGGCATCTCGAGAGTCGTCGGGAATATATTCGAAAACATCTAGCCGGATGTCCACCTCGTTCAACCCGAGCGGAATCAAGGAAATGAGTCGAGCGATGGTTTCGTCGGACATTTGCTTCAAGTTGCTGTGGCAGCGATTCTCAATATGGTTCCGCAGATCATCATACGACGCAGGCCGAACAATCCTCAGTACTCTTGTCGGCTTTGAGGCCGATGTTGCACCACCATCCTTCTCAAACCCAACCGAGAAATAGAGCCGATTGAACTCCTTCAAGTCATGCACTGCGAAGACTGCGATGCATCAACTTATATCGACACGTACACTCTGACGCCCTGGCATCACTCAATAGGTCCTCATTGCCAAAGAGCATGGAGGTCCGGGAGAAGCCTTGGGAATGACGTTCCGGAAACTGATATCAGAATTGGCAGAGGCTTCACTCTAGAACTACGCACGACGTTTGCGGAACTATTGCGTCCAGAGGGCTAAACCACATGGCCCGACCATTGGGGCCAAGCACTCGAGTAAGCTCCTCAACAGGAGCATATGGAAAACGAAGGGTGTCCGTGAAAACAGCAGCTCTGCCAAACCTTGGAACCATTAAGAACCCTTCAACCCTTCCTTGTCGAGACTGGGTCTGTCCATGAAGTGCACAGCAAAAGTTGCGACCACAAGGTCCAGACTCTGATCTGGCTGGTGGCGCAGGAACTCGACGCCGTCGCTTTTCACGATCCTCAGGTTATGGAACATGTGTCCGCAGTCCGCAGCATGCTCAAAACTGAAGATCTTCCGTCTACTGCGTTGAACTCACGTGTCACGTACAGGCACGGAGCCGCAGAGCAACTTACAAAACAGACGCTGCAGATGCCAAAACCTTGGAAGCGATGGCCTGGTGAGTTCCGCCGCACTGCGATCTCATGTGGTACACTATAACAAGGGCGTGCGAGCATTGCGTGAATCAAACATGTATTTGCCCGTGCCCAAAGGGCCTTACATTTCCTCTTTGTATAGGGGCCTTGGAGTGAACAATAAAAACAATCAAGTAATAATAGTAGTCACTTTGTTCTGTACAAGTCAATTCACATTATAGGGTCTTTAAGCATGATTCCGCCCAAAGGCCCAAACAATTAATAGTGTCAGATTCAGAGTCTTTGGAGCTCCGCTATTATGTACTGTATATGCAGTGTTGATCGGCTTGCAGACTGTCAGCACATGCTCAGGTGTCCATCTGCATCGGCAGGAGAACTGGCGCCCAACATGTTCTGAACATGTCAGTCCTAGATGGCATGTGGATGTTGAGGGGTGGTAGAGGTCGGTTGAAATGTTGAAGCAGAATGCCTTTTGGGTCGGCGCGGGGTGACGGGCATGTTTGGTGCTGTGCTGTTCCAGTGCAGGACAGTCAGAGCGTCAAGTGCGAGAATTGAGGAAGTCTTCTGGCTCTTACTCGCCACTCTCTTGCTCGCTTCCAGGCGGCCGGAAGCAGGGGTGGTTTGCGACAGTTATTGAAGTATTTGTGAGTGTGTGAACTAGGGTGTCCTTTGCAGATGGGTACTACTATGTGACCGTGTCACATCGTACTTCTTGTCTCTGTATCCATCAGGCAAGTGGAGCGATGGCAAAAGAGGGCCAGCTCTGCCTTTCCGTCCATACAATCGTCCGATTCGCGACACTATCCAATCAAGCGTCATGTGGGAGCAGTTGTCCGGCGGAAATGGATCCTGAGCAGAATGATACTTGATCACTCGTAAGCCCACGGCAATCCCGCCGAGGTGCAACGTTGATCATGGTCTGCGCCTCGGAATGCAGGAGGCATCATGAAGCTCTGCACGGAAATCGCATGTGCCCATGAAAGCTTCGGCGAGGTTCTACAGTGTGGGGAAACCCAGCAGGTGCCTGCAAGAGCTTCCCCAGCGTGCCGTCGCCAGCTCCAAGGTCGGCGACAACTTTCCCGCTTGAGTACGGAAGCAAATGGTCTGCGATCCGGTGCCATATGCCTATCAGCATGTTGGCTTCTGTGAGGGGATCTACACATTCGCTGATCCACTGATTCATAGGTGCCAAGACACTTGGGTGGTCTGAGACATTGTACCTCATGGCATCACCGACAGAACATGCACTCAAAGACTTTCCTCTGGATCATTTTTGCTTCTGGCTGAGATGCTCAATGGCACCAACTCTAGCTTTCGTGTACTGCGCGTCTCGCGAGCTTTTTAGCGATAATCTGTACATTCCCTGTCGCATGATGGTTATCTTCACTTTCTGTTTACGCCGGTGAGTCTGAGGCGCACTCACTGTTGTTGCCAATGTATGTCAGGCTCAGCGCTCGACAAATTCGGGTCAAGCTCCGTCGCATTGTACTCTTGATGCGTCTACTTGTAGGTACTGACTGTGGACAGCTGTTTCAGGGCTCTTGCTTGCGCAGGCCAGTGCCTGGGAGCTTCACTTGTCGCGCAATCAAGGCGCAAACAGAACAAACACACAATATGGTCTCAAGCATCCTTGACTCCCAAACGTCTAGACGGGCAGGATGCTTTGCATGAGCCTCCGCTGTTGTAGAGTCCCAATCCAGAGCTCTTCGGAAAACCACAGCCTCATGCAAGTCGGGACTTCCAGGTTTCGCTATCTCCACCATCGTTGTCAGGCGCACCTGCCGATCTTGTCGCATATGGCATACATAAACATTCGAAGGTATTCAGCAAAAAAATGTTCCGAGCTCGGCACCCTGCCAACACTTACAGCAGGCAGATGGGGTAGCCCCCTACTCGGACAAATCCTCCGCGCCAGAGCCCTCATATGAACAGCTCTACGATGTGTCTCTACGATGTGAGCCGAGGCGTTCAACAGATGGAACTTCACAAGTGGATACAAGTGGGTCTGCACAAAACACGAGCTCTCACACAAGTAAACATGCAGGCAGCACCTAGGCAGCTCCAGGAACCTCTATCCGGTCTCCATCAGGCGAAGCTCTCCTGAAGGGCCTGGCAGGTTTGGTTCCCTTGGGCGATGTGCGATGTGTAGCTCAGCCAGCCTATGTGGCAAAGGGGCGTCGTGTGGTGCCATTCACGCCTGCACGGGTGAGCAGCTCAGTTCCACTATTGCAGAACTTTGCGTAACTTCGCATAGTTCTTTTGCGAGATTTGCAAATTCATCTGTGGCCTCTGCCTAGGGTTCCACGTGTGTCGACTTAACAGGCCGCCCAAGAAAATGTTGGAATGTTGCAACCTGAGGATGTCTCAGATGCCGGAGATTGGTGTGCTGAGGACAAACCACTGGGGGTGTGACAAAGACCGCCAGCATGCTTTGACCAGCGGAAGATACTCCACCCAAACCTCTTGCAACGGTGGCTCGCGCAGCCGTCCAAAGCCTGCTGCCTTGCAAATCTGAGTTCGATGCTTTGGATGCCACGATGCCGAAGTTTCCTTCTGCGGGCTTCCTGTCGCTGAAAAGCACCTGTTGTGGAAGCTTGACCTGGCAGAGGAGCTCTTGAGTTGCTCGTGAGCTGCTCGTGAGTTGCTCTCTATTCTTCGCTATCGGAGCCGTGCTTTGTACCGTGCCTGAGCACCCTTGACATCTAGCCGCGTCGTTCCCAGGCTCACCACCTCCCCATGCTAAGGTCGCACCCGCATGTGAAGTCTTGCAGAAGTGCGGGCGTCGAACTCAACCCATCCCACCTGGATGGTATCACGAAGAGACTTGGGGAGATAGTGAGCGTCAGGTAAATGCAACCTCGGTCTGCAGGCATTGGCGTCACTCGTCACACACATCGCGACATTGCGCCCGGGTGGTGTGCTGGCACCAGACATCTACTCTGGCATCTCCAACAGCCTCGAGCAACGTACAGAAGGTCGTCGATTCTTTCGGGAACTTCCAAATTTTCGCAAGAAATTTAGGCGCAGGCTAGCTTGTTCACGACAAGCTTGGACGAAGCACCCGGAGGTTGTGGATTGCTCAAATGTAGAGCACCCTGCCCCAGATTGAGGACATTTGAGAGCAGGTAGCAAGTTAAGAGGCTCGTCCGGAACGAGGCCTTTGCCCTGATTAGGACCTGGTCAAAAGTCAGACCGCCGGTTCCCACCGTCAGGTTCCGCCTGGCATTCGCTCAATTCTTGCCCGACCACATTATGACCAACTCCTCTCCGATAGTCCGATAGCCACCTGAGGAAACGTACTTGATCCATCAAGGCACCCGTCACTGAGACCTGCGATGTGGTACTTTCCATGACTGTCTTCCTGCCCAGATCTTCACCGGTGATCACAGGAGCAGAGCACACCTCCAAGGGACCAAACGCGAGCTTCACCTTGCAAGTTCGATGCTTGTAGTTTCAGAATGTTTCAGATTCAGGTTGCCCCCAAGCGTCGCAGCACCGGCCTCGCGCAGGTGCACGTCCAGTTCACGCACGTCATCCCTCCGAGTATGCCTCGCTTCTGGCTGCAGAAAGGACTCTGAACGCTCGGCATGAAGATCGCACGGACATGATCGCGTTCCACAAACCTCCTCGTCGTAAGACTTAGGAGAAAAGACCGAGAGCTGCGGCGTGCGAAGTGCAGGCTGCGAAGTGCTTTTGAGCACCACGTCTCGTCTGGGATATTGCATGTCCACCTTCAGCGGAACAAAAAGCCCCAAACCTCAGAGAAAACATGTGCTTACACGTCGTCAGATTGGCCTAGGAGCCATCCCCTTCTGGCCCGGCATGGTTCACACATGGTTCATGGCCGAACTCACTCGCATCGTCATGCCTGGATATCCCAGATCTGAAAGTCCACGTCCCGGCACCTGTCGGGCCTTGTTCATGCAAGGGCTTGCAAGACAACACCCACTTGCCCATGACTTGAGGAAGCGCTTCATGCAAGGGCTTGCATGACAGCACCCACTTGCCCATGATTGCCCATGACTTGAGGAAGCAACGTCTGCCCAATGCTGACTTGCACGCCGTTCAAGTTGATCGTGAAGACCTGACCAGGGAGCTTCAGCTTGGGGCCTGAAATCACACCACACCATCCTCTGCTATCTATCTTTTGGTATGCCATGTAGGCCAGGTGGAAAGCTACCCTAGGTGGCTGTACTCTCTGGAACAGATGGAGGTGGCAGTACATGAAGCGGGCTTTTGCTCCTCCAGCACGTCCAAGCTCCGATGATGTAGGGAACAGGCTGTACACTGCGTCGGTGCCGCACAGTCTGCCGTTCAGAAATTCCCGCGTGTATAAGAAGCCTTCAGCTTGCTCATGCTGCTTCCAAGCTGCGTCCGATCGCTTGGACGGGCTGGAAATAGTCGCTCGAGTCCGTGTCTACCCAAACTCATCCAACATGCTGTCAGCAGCCTGGCTCAAAGCATTCGATGCTTCGCGCTTCTCCTTTCGCTGGGCCTGCCACAAGCATAGCCTAGTAACGCATAGAGATTCAAACATGCTCTTACGTACCGCCAGGCTCGGCACTGTACTCCTGCCTCGTTAATTCGTTCATCGACAGGGCGTTGGCCCTCCGAGAAGCTGGAGGACTGGTACTGATCGCGATTATGGTGATGATTGCCACCGAGTTCCTACACCTGTGTATATTTGCCGTCGGGGTTCCCTGACTTGCACACTAGAAAAGTTACCGAAAACTTTGGCAAGAACAATCTCTCCTGTCTGTGTGTCCGCAAAATGGTCGGTCAAGAGATCCTAACTACGTTAGTTCTACGTTAGCGGACGTGCTGCCTGCAACAGCACGAACTTTTCAGCCCCCTGCACCTTGACATCGCTGGCCCTTGGCTTCTTGACCTTGTTCAAGGCCTTGGCAAACGTCTCCTTCTTTCTCTCAACGATCATCTTTGCTCGTTGGTGAAGAGGGACTTTGTTCACCTCGTATTTCTGTGCTTTGTCGTGGGTTGCATGTGCCTGGTAGTCTCGCACCGCATTGAACAAGCGGACCACACCTTGCGTGGCATACTTACGAAGCTGCACTTCGAAGTTCTTTTGCGCGATGTCTGGAAGGGAGTGGCCTTTGTCCTTCACTGCCCGGTTCTCCGCAGCATGCAGCCGTTTGGCTTTTGACTCCTCTTTGCTTTCTTTGAGCTTCCTCTCTATCTCCGTCTCTGCCAGAACCGGCGAACTGGATTGCGGAAGCTCTCTGCTCAGGATATTGGCAAATGCTGTGCAAAAGCCTTTCCAACCAGCCTCCTCAATTTTTGAACCAGCTTGACCGGCATCCGCGCCAGCAGCAACTGGCACATCATTTTCCTGTTTCTGACCATGGAAGGTCTTGGAAACATCGGCTCTGCGAGCTTTGGACTTTGCCTGTTTCTTCTTGAAGCGCCCAATGCCATGCATGGTAGGGCAGCCTACACTCGCACCACAGCTAGGGCTCAAGAAGCAGACAACCCAAAAGGCCGCGGCAGCACACCTGCCCTCATCTTCCGAGGGCTTAAAAATGGCACTCTATGGCATATTGCATGCGCAGCTACGGGAGCAAACTGCGAAGCATCATCGGGCAAAGAAACAAGTCTGGGGCCTCATGTCGACGTCGGGGCTCGGACGATGCCTGCACTATGCTTTGTCGAAGCGCTTTTTCCGCATGGAGATACGCGAACTGAGCCGCAAACCAACGCAGCCGCGGTGTCCCAAACCTGAATCTGAGGTCAAGTCGGCATTGTTACAAGCACGGGATGTTTCGATGCATCATGACGCCTGGTCGGCTTTGGACGCTCTCAAGGTGTCCTTTTTCACCCCCGCACAGCCGGACGAACCACACTGCAGGGCTCTTCCAAAACGACTAGGGCCGAAAAAGCTCAACTTCAAGTTGTTCTTGCCCCTTCAATGTTTTGGGTTTTCTTGGTCTACCTCCTCCGGTCCACTTGCTGAGTGAATGAAAGGATCGCATGGTTTCACTTCGTGTTTAAACTAGTTTGCTCGTCGCCGGCGTGGTGCTTTGTGCTCAGCCTCTTTTTTTTTTTTTGGGGGGGGGGGGAGGGGGGGGGTTGTTGTTGGTTGCGGTTTTGTTGTGTGGGTGCGCTGATTCGCCGCCTTTATCACGCTTCCCTGTCTCAGTCTCAGTGCTCGAATGTGCCAAGAACTTCATGTGTGGCCCATGAAGCTGGCATTTTGTAGCAACAAAGAATCAAAGACTCAAAACCAAGGCCAAGGCAGATGAAGGCGACAGGCTTGCAGATGGCCCTACCGAGGACAAAATTCCTCTAGAATCTGTTGCAGTGACTCGTTGGCTCGTTGGCTCGAGTACTGCATCCCAACAAATGCAATGCTTCCAAGCAGACGTCAAGATTTCCTTGAGCCAGCAGACTGGCATGTCCCGGCCTTCCACAACCAGACCCACCTCGGCTGAGCCAGGAACTACATGGCCCATGTTGTCGGCAGCCGCTTTTGCAATGGCATGCCAGGGCAAGGTATCGGACACGGAGCGTGTCGATCTTTAGCTCACCCGTGAACCTGAGCCAAAGCTGAGCCGCATGGCGCCGCATCGCGCTGCAAGATGATTGAGAAACTTTGATGGCACACTGCCACAACCTGGCAGCCTGAAGTCTGAGCGCGCTAACGTTCTGAGGATGGTTGCATCGTCGTTCTCCGCTTCCTCCCCGCCGCTTTCCTTCCACATCACGAGTCCGAGAACGAGTCCGGCCGGGCATTGGAGGAATATGCATGAAGGTGCCCCGTGCGCCTCGAGCTGGCGCGGAACTGAGGCCTGCAGCGAAAGGGCCCAACAGCTCAAAGATCAAGAAGTGAAGCAAGGCCGCATTTACGGCATCTATGGCCAATGCAAAAGCCGGCTTGTCAGGCATGACAGTGACCTGGCAACGGGTGCACCCAATCAAACCAGACAAAACAACTCAAGTGTCACGTCTTGTCAAATCGCGACGTAAGAGGAGCCAGGAACACCACGGCCACACGTTCGTGTAAAGCCACAACCACCGCAGCATTCACCTCGCACATCTCAGAACACAACGGCTCGCGAATCCTCAAAGCAGCACAGCGCCGCTGAAAGCCGCATCATGTTTCAAATCCCCATCATCTGGCCGCCAAGCCGACGCTTTGCGACATAGGAGCTGAAAAATCACTCAAATAAGAAAACAGATGACATAGCATAAGCCAACTTTTGATGATGTATGAAGAAGTTGATGGCCCTCAGCGCTATAAAGCCTCAATCAACCCTTCCTCGAATGTACACGGGCAAGAACGGAAACACACCTAATAGCCTTAGCCACCACCGCCAACCCCCACTGCTGCTACCCGAATCGGGACCGACCCGACCTTCCAAAAGAGGACATAAACGAACACATTCGATGGTACTAAGATGGTACACTAAACAAAACTAAATCGCGAGGTAACAGCTGCAAAGGCCCCAGCCCGCAGGGTTGACTTTGTCCTTCCAGAGACGCTCACAAGTGAAAACGGAAACTGACACATCCGTCCTCTTTTGCGCGGCAGGTGCTGCATGTGCCTGAGTGGCAAGAACGAAACATCCTTGCAGAGTCGCAGTCGTCTGAGCAGTCCACGCCGGAAGCGCGGCCAGACCTGAAATGTTGCTCAGACCCAAACTGCGCAAGACATGTCGAACGGCTGAGGCTTCAACCACCGTGGCACTTTTCGTACGCCGCTGCGGTTCAGATCGACGAACACGGTGGCCTCAGGCTACACACACATGTGAGGATGAAATCAAGTATTGCCGCTTTGTCACGAAGCGCCACGCACGCGCTTAGCTCATCGAGCTCAGGCGCAACATGGCGCAACACTGGCAAAGCTTCCAGAACAGTCACTGGGCATTCCTGTGAACCAACAGACTCAAGGCGACCAGGGCCCTGACACGTTCATCAGCATCTGATGCACGCTGGACAGTCAAGCGCAGCCTCTCGATCAAGCGAACTATGACTATGATACGCAGAGCCGAATCTTGGCACAGAGCCTCGGGACATTGCCAGATGGTGGACCTCAGGCACCGATACACGCATGTGCATTACCAGGTACATAGTGACACGTATATACATAAAGATGATATACATATGTGTCTATATATATATATATACACTTATTTCTTTATGCATTTACGCATATATTCATATATACATATACATGTGTATATATACATTGTTTCAGTGAGGTATTCAAGATTTAGTGTTGTGTGCTTCTATCTCTATGTCCCGATTCATTGACAATTGAGCAGAATGGCTCCCACATCGTGTCGCCGTAGGGTATGGATTCTCGAAGCAAACAACTTTTGTACTTTTGTTATATACATATATCTTACATACATACGTACATGGCATACACACTTATTTAGAACTACTGGTAGCTGGACACACAGTTCTGCCCTGGCAAGCCCTTCTAATTATTCCTGCTCGTCCCGCGTGCAGTGCATGCAACGAACGCCTCTGCCCCCGATCGGCAACTGCTCGCCAAAGGCCTTGGCTTTCACCGAACTTCTGGAAGGGTCGGCTTCATGTCCAATATATATATATATGTATATTACATATTAGTATTACATATACTTCCTGAGTGCCCTGCCACACCGAAGGTGTATGCTGGATCCTCGTGAAAGGCTGAAAATTCACATCCGAAAACCTGGCTCATTCCTCATGCAGATGCCTCGCCAACACCTTCCATATTGGCAATCAGCTGGACCTCTTAAGTCGCACACCGCCACGCGAGGCTGACATCAAAAATAAGTCCCTGATGCTTGGGCACTTGCATCAGGATGCTTGTTCACAAGCGTGTGGCACCAGCCGCTGTCTTTGATGGTGACCTCATCGGGCTAAACTCCAGGCAGTTTCATTCAATTTGAAGCCGAAGCACAGCCTAAACATAGCAAAGTTGGAATCAGCCCTTTTCTTCACCGCCCTGCACGAGTGCACAAACTGAGCAAAGGATGACCAACAATGCCTGCCGCTCTGCGTGCAGGCTGCGATCATGATCGACAAAGACCGGCGCCAACCTTGGATTACCCACAAAGAACTCCTCAACCCCCTGATCGCCTTCAGTTCTGTGCCCCAGGGTGCGCTGTCTGCCCGAGAGTAATGCGAGTAATCCCATGTCATTTCTTTCAGTTTCTGCCACGTCCGGTATCCAGATCGCATGGGCTTCCGAAGCCGTCACCAACCGGGCAGAGGCCACCCTCGGGGTGCTCATGGTGCTCCCACGCTGACAGCTTCGTCGCGTTTCCCACCAGAGATGGGGCAGCCAGAATGCGTTGGCAGGGGCCAAGCCGAGTTGCGACAAAGCCGTGTGCGTGAAATGACAGCCCAAGCTGTACACTTCTAACTCTGCCTGTGTCTGGTCCAGCCTAGATATAAGCAGGACAGACAGGAGGGACCTGAGTGGCGCAAACATGAACCGGCGAATCTTCTGGCAGGCGCTGATGTGCAGCTTGTCGTTGTCCAACAGCTGGTCCATGCAAGCCACGGCTTGGCTTCGGGACTCACGTCCAACGGTCTTGATCAGCTCGATCAGCTCGTCCAGCAGAGCCACTGTCTGAATCCAGCAACCAGACTCTTCAAAAATCTCCAGAAGTCTCGCCGAGGTGATGGCATCTTTTTGGCCCTGCAGGCGTGAAGTCATGGACACAGCACGCGCCCAAGCCTGCACGCTGAAGCTCTGCACGCTGCTCGTGAAGCTTGCGAGTGCAGAATTGACGGAAGTGAGGTCCGGCTCTAGCATGTCGTGCCTTAAGTGAGCCAGCTGGCCAAGCACAACATGCCAGTGCAATGATTTTGAAGTCGCATCGATGAGAGAGTTAATGGTGGCGAGGGACATACTGCTTTCTTCTTGGTACCTTTGCAAAAGAGATGTACAGAACAGCCACTGCGCTCCCGTGGAACACGACGCCACTGCTGCGCCCAACGTGACCCTGTCAAGCTTCCCAGCCCAGGAGGTCAGGAAGTGCAAGGAGCTGTGCCAGAAGTCTGCACGGTCGCAAAGGCTCAGAACTACAGACACACATGCGGTGTCCAGCCTAACACCATCCTGTTGCGCGCGCCTGCATAGCTCCAAACCCTGCTCCCGTCGACCGGCCGCGTGCAAGCACGCCATGGCATTTGCCAAAACTTCAGACCTCACCAGCTCGCGCCTGCACAAGTCTGAGAACAGTACTGTGGCCACGCTCCAATTCTGAGATTTCCTCAAGCTTTGGAACACTGCTGCAGACAAGGATAAGTAGGACGTAGAAGACAAGGTATTCGCAGTGGGCATGTCTGGCAGCTCTTGCACACCTTGCTGCCAGCCGTGGGAGGGAAGGGCGCTGACCAGGGAAGCAACATTGCCCAAGTCTGGTCTCAAAGCACTTCGCACAGCAGCTCGCAAAACCAGCGCTGCCTCCTTCCACTGGTCAGTCAAGCCCCGCAATGCAGAGCTGCATGCTGCTACATCAAGCCCTCGGTGATTGCCATGGCAAGTGAGCAAGACCAACAGCTCTGCCCACTGGCGTGCCGCAGATGCTGCTTCCACAGTTGCACCGAAGGTTACCACATCTGCCCTCAGAGTTGACCTTCTGGCAACCCTGAAAGTCCGCAACGCCGCTGTCCATTTGCTCGTGGGCGCCAAGCAGCCGAGCACTGCGTTCCAAGACACTATATCAGCCCTGAGGCCAGAAGTGGCAAGGCAGTCTGAAAGGTCCAAGGCTTGCTTCCAACAGGAAGCTCTTGAACAGGCGCTTATGGTCGCAGAGCAGGCTGCCAGCTCCTTTTGGAAGCTGAAGAGCATGCCAACTGCCCGGCGCCAGAGCGTGTTCTGCCCACATGCGCTGACGAGGGAACTCAAGGGCGTGGCTCGTTCAGCAAACCTCCGCAACCTCAGGAGCTGGAGCAACCTGACACATCCTTGCCAAGTTCCACTTTGAGAAAGGGCGCCAGCGAGGATTTTGAAAGACACGCGGTCTGCTGACGAGGATGACACGGCCACAAGGTGCAACGAAGAAGGCCACTTCCGCTGCAGGGTTGCAGACAAGTGCGCGTTGGACACCTCCGTGCTTGGCTGCATTCCACGATGCTGGCAGAGGTCCACAAGTATGTCCGTCGCTAGAGGCCAATTGCCCCTGCACCCTCTCAAAAGTCCTGTAAGAGTGAAGCAATCCAGTTGCAGAGCTCTGCCCTGAGCAAAAGTGCTGACAAGCGCTATCCCGACCCTCCACGACTTGCCTTTACTTGCTCCAATGCAGGTGTTGAGGCTGATGGTGTCCGGCTGTGTTCCAGCTGTGCATAACCAAGTCAATAAAGACAACGCTGCCGTCCAAGCCAGACCTTTCTGGCATGCTGACATCCCTGCATTGCAAGGAACTGCGCCTACTTGCAACTGTGCTCTTCGGCTCTGACACAATAGGCGTACAGCCTCACGCCAGAGGCTTCGTGCAGAGCATGCACTTATCGCCGATGTTAGCTGCCAAGGGTCTCGCACCTGGTCTGTCGGCGAAGCTACCACTGCTCTGGCGTCTGCCTTTGCTCCTGATGACTTCTGCAGGGCGGCTAGACGTAAGCCTGTTTCGGCCTTCATCAGGGGCTGGAAATGAGGTGCAGTTTCGAAATGCTGTCCTGTACCGGCCGCTCCCAACCCAGCCGTGTGCTGACCATCTGTTGCTGCACGTATCGGCCATCACAGGCCGTTGCTGGCACAAGCACCCTGAACACGATGTCCAGGCCAATCTCGCACCACTACATTGCGACATTGCGCGTGCAGCACGGGATAGGAGCCCACAGACTCTTGCGGCAAGTGGCCAGAAGCACCCTTAAGATTTGGAACGCGTCGATACAAGAACTGCACTGCATAAGCAAGCATCACGCAGCCCTTGAGCTTCCCACTGCCCAGCTGGCCGCATCAAAGTCGATGCAAACACAGACTAGGAAGCGAGACCTGCACACTGCTCAAACACCTGCACTGCACACTTGACATACCCCTGGTGCGAGAGCTGCTGTGATGCTCAAGGCCGTCGTACAGAGATTTTAAAAAGGTGACTCTGCCCCGCAGGCCGACCCCTACTGCACCGCGCACCGAGAGTCCGACGACTGTGCTTGTGCCTTCAACGTGACAGGGTAAGCACCTCCGAAACGAAGCATTCGCAATGCATTCGTAGGCAACTTCGTGTTGAACGCGGGTAGAGCAAATTAAGCTAATAAGGCACGGTGAGGCAGCTGCCTATTCTGGACTCTTTCAGCTCGAAGGGCTGGGACCTGCAGGCAATGGATCTGCACTGAGCACGCTGATGGGAAAGCTCAAGCTTCAGGCCAGGAGGTTCGAGCTTCCTTTCCAGCATCCTGAAACCTCACTGCCACCTGCTCACGCATGCTCGCGATGGCTGGCAAAAAAGGCATGAGTCGAGGCAAAGCCGCCTGCAGGAGCTGGTCGGTAACGCTATGCCACCAGAAGGCCCGACTGGCACTTGCAGGGACCCAGACCTGCTCGGGATGACTGAGTTGTAGATCGGTTTTTTGGGGCACCACCTTGCAGGCAAGATGGAATTGCAGACATCGGGCGAAAAGCAACTTGACTCCAAACTGTTTGCTGCTGCTTGCAACAATCGGAAGCACGTCAAAAGTCAAAAGCGTGCTCGGCTGTTCATGCTTCATGCTTGGAAAAACTTGAGGGTCCAACTGCAGTGTCAGAAGGACATCCATGCTGACGAAATCCGACCTGCCACACAGCAATCCCGAAAGCCGCAACAGCTGCAGCGCCTCATCAACGCTCAAAGGCAGACGCGCACGATTCTTTCTTCAGCTGTCAGTGCCAGCATCTCAAACGTCTCCCATAGTCGATCGAAGCTGGCAGCGAGCGCGGTGTAGGGGCAGCAATCAAAGCTCCTTAGGTGACTTGCGTTGATGTTCAATACCCGTGGCTACAGCAGGCTCAAGAAGAATGGGTTTATTGGAGCCATGGTTCCTTTCCTGCCTTTTCTTGCCGCTTCAGGAGCAACTTCCTTGTAGCAGGGTTCCCCCTGGCCATGTCCAGTGGTGTCTGCCTTCAAACAGGGGTTTGAGCCATCCTCTACCAGGACAGCGTTGGTTGCAACAGAAAGCCCTCCTGGCAGAACGTGCAACAAAACCACCTGCTTCAAGCTCTTTAAGCTGTTTCGCACCACCGACACTATCAATATCTAGTCGCTTCTAGCCCCAGTTCTGCCTTAAACTGGGGCCCCTGCCCGTTGCTAGCTGCTTCATCAAACGGCACACCCGCTTTCAGAAAGACTCTGACTGTGTCTGCGTGGCGCTGCTCCTTCCCCCAAGCTGCTCTGTGTATCGGAGTGAAGCCATCTGTGTGCCTGTCGCTTGGGTTGAGACCATGATCAATCAACAGTTTCGCAATTTCTGCTCTGCCCTGGAAGCCAGCTCCATGCATCGGGGTGTATCCATCCTTTTCGGGAATAGATGTATCTGCACGTTGCTCCAGCAAAAACCTGACCGCATTCGTGTTGCCAGTAAGAACGCCATGCATCAATGGAGTCTGTCCTCCAGAGCCGAGTAGGTTTATGTCTTCTCCAGAATCCAGGGCTTCCTTGATCTGCGCTGGGTCATCCGAACGCACCGCGTTATGAATATCTGCAGCAGCCTGCCGTAAAAGCAAGATGGCAAACACGAAAGCCCGCATTGTCCCTCTGCATGGGCCAAGCCGGATAGCACTATCTACTTGCCTTCCCAAGAGCTGCTTGGGCCATCAACCCAGCAATTGGAACGTTTGCACTATGTTGCCTGATGCACCAAAACTGCCGCGAAGGGCCTCCAGGCCCTCCGTGTGGTTGAAAAGCCTGGGAAGACTAAGTTGCTCAAGCTGGTTGGCCTGGTAAGCCTAACCACTGCCACATACGCCACGTGGCATCATCGCCGGCAGCAGGCTGACAAGGCAGCTGGGAACCCCTCGCATGGCCTGGTCCAGCTGGCAAGCCCGAAGCTACTCTTGCACAACAGCCCCGTCCGCAGCCTCTGGAAGTGCAACCGTCTCTGTTCTGAGGCAGCATGGATGAAGGGGCCTGCAAGCCAAGCGTTCCACTGCATTCCCGGATTCCCATAGCCTCAGCACACCATGTGCTGTACTGAGACAAGGCCCCGGCGTCACAGCCACAGCAACTGCTCCACTGACCTTGGGATCTACAGTCGCGCAACGACATTTAGGATGAAAAGGGACAGCAACAGCTGTGGGCCCAACATCAGGTACATTGGCCTGGTGGTCAGACTATGTCACACACAGTTCTGGAGCGCGATGTAGCCACATGTAGCTACTGTGCGTCACACAAGTTGGAATCTCAAGGTGCGGCCTCAATCGGCGCATGTGATCGGAGACCCACAAAGGCAACACCATCACCGGCATCATTGCGGATTTCAGGCAGGATGGACACCTGCATCTGGCACAAAGGCTGAACAAAAAGCGACCTGGTGAAATCTTCACGATGGCTGCAAACTCACCACGCGGCGCTCTGCAGCCAACGTAATTACGTCGCGAGGACAGTGCCGTTGAGAAACGCGAAGCTGCAGGATAGGACCGTTGGCTAGCGCTCCGGATGCCAGAAAAGATCTGTGACACACAGGCGGAAATATTGCCAAAGTCTCTCTCTTTGTTTCGGATGCTTGGCAGAGAATTGTTTGGCGCTTTTTGGCACCTCCACACTAGTTCCTTCGGATAAATGAGCATCTAGGAAAGGTTCGTCGAAGAACATGCAAACCCATTATCTGCCCTCCATTGGAACATGCCGAAGAACAGAGCTTTGGAAACTTTCACCTTGCAGTTGCCTAGTTTTAACGTGACGCGGGACATGGATTGAGACGGGCTGCATGGATTCCATTGCTGCCAAAGATCTCACATTTTGCACATTGGTGCGAACTTTTCGCCAAACAAGAAGACCAAGGCACCAAGGTCTATCCAAGACTATAAGGCTCACGCAACCCAAGGTAGAAAACGCAGCTGAGCCAGATCGCGGCACAAAGGTGCCAGTTTCAATGCGAGCAAAGTTCCGCGGAGGGTTTGAGAATGTTTGAGATGTGGCAGCTCCAGCCTTGCTTCCGAACGCTGCCACAGGGTGCATTGGTCCAGGCCCTCCAGGCTGGAGAAGTCGGATGTCCAGACCTTATGGGCCATCATTGACTATCATGCCTGGCGTTGCCAGCTGGGGGCACTATGTCACTATGATGCACTCCTGCTTTCAAAGTAGCCTGTGGAGTTCACGAACCACAAGGCCGTGTAGACCTGAGGGAGACAAGGCTGGATCACATGCTGTGAGTTTGCTTGTGGTGCGCTGCTGCTTGTTCCAAAGCCGCGCGTTTTTTCTGATAGCAGAATGTGGTGAATTGATCAAAAAACTGACAGCACGTCAAGCGAATTTTGCATGTGCACATGCACACGTGGACTGCAACCTCGGTAGTTTGAATTTGGCGGTGGCCGGTTAAGGAACCTACTGTAGCACTAACCTTTGTACACGCACACCTGCAGTGCTCACATCTGCTCATAGCTGTTAGCCTTTGTCAGCTGCGAAGTCGATCCAACTTTTGGTGTGACCCATCCTGCACACATCGCTCTGCTCGTCTGCTCGCAAGAAGCCTTTACGATACACCATGCTGCATGCGTTTGCTGGCTCTTGCTGTGCTTAACTTGGGAATTGCAACGTTGAATGTCGAAACAAGAAAATCGCAGGTAATGTTGCTGATCTCAATACTATCCACGAATGACAATGCGCGTGTGCAATTGGCAAGGAACTTGGGTTTAAGGACCGTTTGCTGTCGCAATTTCAGTAAACAAGAACTTGTATGAAAGAAGGTACCGGCCGAGTAATGATTTGTTTTGCCACCCGTCAAGCAGGATGCCGACTATGCACAAGGGAATTTCGTAGCCGATGCCACCAGAAATTCTAAAAACATCATCTTTGCCAATGGCTTTCTTGCGCGTGGGCTGCATTGGGCCGCTTTTAGGGCACATCAGAATACAACTTGCTTGTTGGGAGGAAATGCTGAGAAACTTGTCGGGTTCAACGCTGTTTCATGCGCATTTCTTGTCTGCGCCAGCTCAGCTGTGGCTTCTGCAGAAGCGGAGATATGCAGCAGCAGCAGCTCAGCAGCACATACCCCAACTGGCAGTGGACAAATGCAGAGCATAGATCTCGGCTAGATGGCAGGGATCATGTTGTAAGGTGAACCACCAGTTAGTCGGCTTCCCCAACCCGGTCTTGCGCTTGTAGGTCGTGACCTCATCCTGCAAGATGCTGAGCCCATTGGTGGATTTAAGCCGCTTCGCCGGCGGCGAAGCGCCAACCTCGTGAAAGAGCGCATCTGGAAAGACCTCCTGGGACAAGGCTGCACTCGGCCGCAAGATGCTCACGTCAGAATGCATTTCCTGTGGCTGCAGGTCTACCAGGTCCCCTAGGTCCTAAGCTGCCTAAGCTGGCTAAACAGATCAAAGCGTCGCACATATCACAAAGCGGCACAGTACCGAAGATAGTGTCCGGGTCGAGCGCTGCCTGTTTCGGAGGCTAGCCATGCTCTGACGCTAAAGTCGCGCAAACGCAATGTGCATCTCCACGCATCTCCCATCCGAGAGAATCCGACTGCCTGCTTCTGGACCGCCTTCAAATAGTCGCCCGTCCATTGCGGCTGGAAGCCTTCCTCGCCCGGACCAGGAAGCAACGGATCGACTGCACGCGATGGAAGCGGGATCCTTCCAGGGAAGAGGAGACGTGCAGGCAAGTCACGCGGGATCAAAACCGGCACCAGAAGGACTGAGAAGGACTGAGAGAGGCACCGCTTCAGCACGACGGCAGGGCCGACTGCAGCGGAAGGCTTCGGACGTTGAGGCTTCGAAGGCTGGGAACTTCCACAACGCCGTGGGCTTGATGAGCTGCTCGAGCATGAAGGACATACCTGGTTCAGAACACAACATAACACAACAAGCCTTTCAGCGTTTGCCTCGCAACTTCCTTACAGGTTCTTGGAGTCTCGCACCTCAACCTGCTCCTGCAGCCGCTGCACCTTGCAGAAGCGATGAGCTAAGCTATGCCTTCGCATGCGTCCTCGACGATTCAACAGCTGCAATTCTTTGCTCGTATCTCGAGCAGAGTCGAGCCTGTTGCCGAAGACGCTGGCTTTCGGCTTCTGCTACAGCTTTGGCAGCCTCTGCACGCTCTGCACGAAGCCGCAGTTGCCGACCTGCTGACATCATTCGGATTCTACAAAACGGCCAGTTGTGCCCTGCCTTGCAACTGCAAGCCCGCAGCTTTGACCAAGGCTGCCTGCACCAGAAAGCCCGATCACAACAGACGATGCGCACAAAAACTCCGACAGCTTTTCTATGAGTTCTTCAAGAGGTTGCGATGGTTTCACGATCAACAATGTCCAATCAACTTCAAAACAGAATGGGTAGCAGATGTGATGCAACGACCTGACATTGGCTCGGCATGGCTCGGCAAAAAAGGAAATTTGGTGTGGACAGCGGCTCGTGACTTTTAAACAGCCTTCATTTTTTCGTGCGAGCACGCCGGGCGATTGGCCCAGAGTGATTGCGCCCTACGCCCTTCGAGCACTGCATCTAAATCCCAACTTCCGAGCCTCCAGGGTGCGCTTTAACCTGAGTTCATCTGAGTTCTGAGGGCGTCCGATGCTCCCCCTGGAAGATTTCAAAGCAGCTACAAAGCAGCTCTTGGCACTGCCAAGGCTCGACTTCGCCTCCTGGCTTTCCAGTCTTTCCATATGCTCTCTCCCCCCCCACTGCCCCCACTGTCAGCCGGGATCTAAGCCATTCCAAGCCCATCTGCGGCACTTTCAGCTGTTCACAGGTCCGGGGTGCTGCGCATGGCGCCAAGCCAAGATTTGGGACTTCAGGGCTCCGGAATTCTCTCAAGCCACTTGTGGCTCCCACGATCAACTCTCGACCATTCCGCATAGCATTGAGATTGATCCACCTCATATGGCAAGTCCACACTGTCCACACAGCAAACGGCGTGGCACGGCATGCGGACTTCTCAAGTCCAGGAGAGAAGGGTCCACGAGTCCACGACATACCCTTGAATTCGAGCTGCACCTCAGCTTCTCACACCTTCCAACTATAGGGAACAAGCCAAGCTTGCTCAGAGCAACACGACTTCCGTAGACCTCCGTAGCTGCACTGCCCTCAGCGGCAACGACCTGCAGCTACCGTATTTCTAAACTCAACTGGAAGCTGCTTCCCTCCCGCTTACAAGTTCAACGTGCTCAAGCTTTCAATCAGTGTCGAGGTGCCATGAGCTTGCGTGTCCATGCTGGTCCCGCACTGCAAACGACACGGTCAATTCCTGCAATTGCCAATGCACACGGTGGCTTGAAACACCGAAAGTTGAGGGCTCTCCTCGGCCACGAAGTCAAAGGCAGGAAGCATGCTCCTTTCCGAACCGATCAAATGGAAATTCATTTTCTGTCTTGATGAACGCTGTTTACCGAGAGTGGCGCTGTGGTGCAATTCGCAGCTGTGGCACGGAAGGGTCGTGAGCGTCTCGGTTGCAAGACCAAGCCGAGCATTCGTGGCATAACTCAAAATACATGTTGGAGTTGCGTTGCATGAAGCGCCAAAAGCGGCACTTGGGGCTGCGCTCATCTTGGCTTCAAGGCAGTGCCATTCCACTTCCCCCTTCCTGTGTGTCTCACAAAATTCTCTCTACCTACACATGAAGCGCGACATTGCCGTGTAGGAATATCCTGCAGTTGAGGACAGCGATCACGGCGTTGATGTCTCAGAAGTTCACTTACACGTGCCGAAGCCCGATTGAGAGCATGCAACTCGGCTTGTTCCCGGGGGACAGGCTTTGCCAACGAGACTTCGTACGACCTTCCTGCCCATTGCATGTCCACCTGCGGAGGACAGGCAATGCGCAAGACATGTGTACAGGTGCTACTGCCGTCTGCCTCAAACAGCCATCATCATCCAGACCTATGGGGAATGAAGCACAATAGCTGAGAAGCCGAAACGTGCTCAGCTACCGAGTCACAGGCGAAATGGCATAATTTCCACTTGGCCATTCTTTGGCACAGGCACCTAGAATGGGCGCGTGCTGCGCCGCGCAAGCCTCGTAACATCTCGGAACCACCACACCTCGTGTCCAAAGCCATCATCAACCAGGAGCTCGATGTTGCCCGACCTTGCGGTTCACAACTCGCACATCCTTGGACAAACGAGGGCTGATAGGTTTCTACATTCTTCTACACAACTCATGAGGCATCGACACCGGCAGCCGCTCTCGCTCCTGTGAGGCTTCTTCCACTCAGAAGATTCATTGAAGCGCGAGCTCATTCCGCTTGCCTTCCCCAGTTTCTTGCGCACGACTTGCGGGTTGAACCTCACGAGCTCCAGCAGGCAATCAAGAGCAATCCGCAGCTGGTCTGGGATCGGGACTGGCACAAAACATCGCAAGGACATGCGTTGATGACCGTGAAGGGCGCATACACCTTCATCAAAGCAACGCGTTGACAACTTCAAAGGCGGCACAAAGGTTTGTTTTTGCAGGCCTCGACGTTGCACCATCCTTCTTCCGGATTGCCCCCGCAGCTGGTTCGAAGCGAGAGCCGGTTGTGCGGGAGAACCTGAGCAGATGTGTCAGCACCCGCACCAAGAGCCAGGAAACGCAGAGAGAGAGAGAGAGAGAGAACCGCCGACAAGGGCTTCTTGCCGCCTGGCACTCATGCGACACTCTTAACCTTAACATCAGGTCCCAACTTCCTCCATGTCCGTCGGCCTAGGCATAGGCAAGGCATGGCAAGATGGAAGATTGTGATGGGGACTGCCACTAGCGAAGTCAGCATCTGGCGGAGCTGAACACAGTGTGGTGTCGTGGGGGTTGGCGACCTGGGTCGGCAGAGCAGCAATCGGAGACGTTTTAGCTCCGAGCTTGCACCGTCGATCTGAGCCCTGCTGCTGGAACAGCGAAGAACTGCTCAGACCTTGCTAGAAGACTCTGGTACTTCAAGGTAGGACCATGCAACAAACACGGGGAATGCTTGGGCATAGCCACTGCTTAGCCACCTGCCACTTGTAAGAGACACCGCCTCCGGCTTCGAATGCTGGACGGATCTGCAGGACAGCCTGCAGGCACGGAAGCTCTGAGGAGACACACCGAGGATGCACGAGCGGAATGCGGAGTAGAACATGTGTCGAGGCAGCCCGGCCTGGCCCATGCGGAGTTGTGCAAGGGTAGGAGCCGAAAGCAACTGACCCGCTCCTTATCACAACTCTCAAGAATGGCTCGATGCTTATCGGAATCGTGCCGTCGCCGTCGGCGACATATGCCACAATTTCAAGGTTCCAGCTGAGACGGACTGCGCCATCACCAACTCCTTGAGGAGCCTTCATGCAATGCAGCATGGCCACCTGTGGCCACGCACTCATCCATGCACTCAGCCGGTGGCATCAGGCGTCGAGGCAGGCAGGGGCTCTGCTGGAACCTGCCAAGCAAGCAGAAGTCTGCTGTATCAGCGACCTTCTGCCTCTCAGTGCACGTGGAATCAGACACCGAGGAACGCAAGTTTGTGGAGAGACGCCATCCGTCAACCTGTCAAAATGTTCAAAGATCGAGCTTTACATTGATCGCCGATGCTAAATACATTCAGACATTCAGAAGTCTCGGCACCCAACAGCCGGGCATCAGCGCCTGAGGATCTCAAGATCTTACGAGGTGTGCGGAAGGTGCTCCCTGCTGCTGGCTAGCGATCTCGAGCGAGAGGGTGCACTTCAACTCTTGGAGTCTTGGAGTTGTTCGAAGGACCAGCAGATTTTCAAAGGGAAAAGAACTTGCGGCAGTCGCCTTTGCAAACAAGCTTCTCAGGAACAGTCAGGGCCCTCCAGGGCTCTTCAGGCCTGGTACCCTCTCTGCTCAAAGCGTCGGACGGCCACAAGCACGCTATGAGTACGTGCGCTCACCCAAATCAGGCTGACATGATCTGACAGGGCCCGTCGTCCCAAGCAATGAGGCTGTCCAGACGGCAAAGCTAGATCGCTTCAGATCAGACAAGCAGACAAGCATAAACAAGAAAACAAGGAAGCCATGAAAGCCAGGAAGGGCCTCCGTGAAATGCCCTGAAACCCTGAGCCCCTGACAGATCTGAAGGGACTGAGGGATGATGGGGTTGAATCCTTTCCTCAGTCCCGGCGACACTCTGCAAGCAAGGACGTTTTACGTGGGAAATAAAGCAAATTGAGCTTGTTGTACAATGTTGCACATGCGGCGTAAGCCGCGAGCTCGGAAGTCTCCTCTGGAAGGCCTGGAGCCTGGACGCGTTCCAAAGACACACAGGCAAACGCATTTTACATATTGTTCTGTCATAATCTGCACTGGATTTTTTGAATCTGCCATGATGCCTGACCACTGCATGGGAAAAGAGTATGGCCGTTGTGATTTGGATTTGGACACTCGTGTCAAGCCGCTTCACAGGATTGGGCTCAAGTTGCGGTGTGTACGGGCGTAGGTTTGTAGCAGCTGCGGAGGGGAGGCCAGGGCGTCAAGAAGATTACTGGGGAGTCCCTCTGCCCATACCCAACCCTTGAACTCGAGAGCAGGGCCCGCGCAAGCTAGGCCCGCCAGATTTCAGGCGGCGATTTGCCAAATCGTACGTAGCGTATGTCAGCGTCTGTTGAAGATCCCAAGAAGCAGAGGGGGGGTCCAAGAAATGCCGGGGGGGGAGGGGAACGGTGGCCGGGCCTGGGGGCCGAGGGGGACTCCTTCCCCACCTTCATAGACCGACAAACTCCCGCAAGCTCCAGAAGGAGCTGGCTTTCGTGCTTATGGATCTCGGCGAGGCTCCAAGTTGGCACGTGCAGCAACATGTAGCAACACTCTCACACCAGCGAGAAGACCAACGGCTTTTTCTTGGAAATGGACTAAGAAACGGATCTCCAGGTCGGCAGGCGTTTTATTCCAGACCTCAGATGCTCAAAGCTGTCGACAGCCAAAACTCCCGGCATCAAAACCGCATATAGTCGCTATTTGGTGTTCAGCTACTCGGAAACTCGGAGCCCTGGCACACACCGTGGAAGTGATGAGTAGCACCTTGCAGAAGTAGGCGACAAAGAAGAAGCAGAGATGAGCAGTGGAGCAGCAATACCAACCGTCAAAACTCCGAACTTACACCGGCATTCGACGTCACATGGAGCAAAGTCAAGTGAAGCAGCGAAGCTAGCGAAGCTTGGTCTAGTGCCCTGATTCCCTCGCAGAGCTGAAATGGGCGGAGGAACTCCCGCAAGCCGAGAAGAGAGATAGGGCTGAGTAGCCGACAAGCTGCGGAGGTCTTGGCATGACGAGCCGGCACCTTCCCAGTTTTGCAGCCCCAATGCACTAACCAGCATCGACAAGTCGAAGACAAGCCAGCCGGCTCGGCATGAGGAATCCTGCCGTCTTTGTGTCCCACGTAACATCAACCTGCAACACACAGTGCAGTCGCAGCACGCTGACGGCAAGCGGGCCACGATGGAGTGTTTTCTACAGGGGCGGTCCTCTCTTCCATACTGGAGCCTGCACGGATCCGCGTCCTCAATGCAATCGGCGCATGTCGGCGCCAGGCTGCGGAGGAGCAGTTTTCTCTTTTGGCGATGTCTGGAGCGGAAGGAGGGGAGTGGCCAACGAGTGGTTAACTTGTAGCGACTGCTGACATCCGCTGGCATCTGCTGACTTTGCTGCCGCTGTCTCGGCCCGGCACGGGGTGATCAGGAAGACGCAGCTCCAAGGACAGCCTTCTCAAAGTTCTGGAGCCATCCACACAACCCAGGCATCAAAATCACGCATCAAAATCGCCCCGTCTTTTTTCCACAGAAATGGTCCAAGGGCCGACACGATTACAACGCAATGATTACTACCACCACATTGTGTGTTCACATAGTCACGTCTCGGGATGTCTTGGCCCGGGGCTGGGTCCCTGATGCGACCTAAGCGGGATCTAGGCACTGCAAACTGAACTTGATATCGATGAGCACCACGAGAACCCGGCGCGGCCACGGCCTTTCAGCAGGCTATCCAAGGGCTGCGCCTGACGAGGCCGAAGCCCATTGCAGACTCAAAAACCTCCTGGTGGCCCACTCGGACAACTACATACAGGTCACATTTCCTGACACAGAGCTACTGATACTGCAGGCTGTTCTTGAGATTGGTCCATGAGCTGACCTCCGCGGAAGATGGCAGCACGACTCCCTGCGGCACTTTCACAAGCCCCATGGCAATGCTGCATCTGCATCCTCGATCCCCTTTAATCTCCTGAACCTCCTTAACCTCCTTAAATTCATCTCTCTGCGCCTCCAGACTGTCCGAGCTATCCACTCTAACCAGACATCTGAGACCGGAGATGTTGACACCTTCGCAACTAAGCTCTGCAAACACTGGCAGAAGCCCTGGTCCCAAACCATCTCAGGAAGTGGTCTCAGGGCAGCACCAGCTAGCAAATGCCCATACTGCATGTCTTCGACGCCTAGCGCAACGTGCAGGGATGGGGACGCGTGTCCTGCAAATGGATAAGCCTCAAACACTGAGTTCCAAGCTCTCTTTGAACACCTGGCTCGCCAAATGAACGAACGGAGCACCTGAGCGCAGGCATTGTTGGATGGTCACAGCATCGTGGACAATTCCGCCCAGACAGTCGGGGCGGAGCGCCTTAGCTCAGCCCACCTCACCCCCAGGGCCCGCGCTGATCACCAGCTTCACGGGCTTGATAGCCGCGACCTTAGCTTGGAGCAGTGCGAAGATGTGCGAAGCTTGCAGGGCACAAGATGCAGAAGGCGGCATCATTGTAAGGGAGCGGCGTCTGCTCGGACGACGACGTCACGAGGCCCTCCGTCGGGCTTGCGCTGTGCATGGTAGGAGAACCGTAGGCCTGGGATCGAGGGTCAAATGCATCTCGGTGTTGGAGATTTCACTGGCTTCTGCATCATGTACCACAAGTACCACAAGGCAAGAGCAACACCGAGGCAGCACAGGTTCCCAGAGCCCGAGCCTCGACATGTCAGAAACAAAGAGGTTTCTTGATGTCTCTTTGTGACATGTCGCGCCTGTGGTTGCGGGAGCTGATGTCCACTTCAAGCTCACGACCTCACGATGTCAGGACATGCTTTCTGACTGCTTGGGCGACCAAAGGCCCGCACCAAAAAGATTGATTGTTGGCGATGCACCTGTTGGCAACTCATGCGCAGGCCCTGCCGCTGAACCGTATGGAACTCGTGAAGCCCTGAGCAGGCTGCCTTGGCGATTGTCCACCTCAGTGGGAGAGGCAAGCTTTGCGGCTAATGTGGATTACGGATGCTGGCGGATGGTGGCTCATGGAACTGGAACGCTGGCCGTGAGCTGCAACAGCTGGCACCGAGCGTTGGCACACAGGCCAGGCCTTTTTTGATGTTTGTGAAGGAACACATGAAAAGCACTTGCATCAACAGCGCGTTTTGCTGATTCAGGCTGTTGCCACTCATTGCCTCCTTCCTCACCAAGGACCTGGACCTGCCGACATCGCATGACAAGCGCCAATTATTGTCCAAGATTTCTCCATTTGCTTGGCACATCTTGGCACCGAAACTCAGCGGCGAGAGCCTCAGCACCTTCGATGGCAATTTCAGCCACGAGGGTCAAGCGATTCCTTGCAGCAGCGCCAGGCTTCCCAACTCAAACAGAGGTCTGCGAAGGGCCCCTTTCTGTCTGGAAAAACGGATGGGTCAAAGGACCTGCGAAATTCTTCCTTCTGTCGAAGCGGTTCCCAGAACGCACTGCATGGATTGTCATTCGACGAGACTATTGCCCATCACTTGTCATCGCCGAACGTCGCCGTGCTCTTCTCAGAAGTGATGCGTGTGTTCAGCGTGCTCTGGCAGTTTTCTGTGCATCGGCACAGGCCCAGATCTGCTAGGTCTGCAGCTCGACCAGCTGCAGTGCCAGGGGGTCTCGGCCTAAGACTTATTTATAGATTTGACTCGACACAGATTTCACAAGTCAGGCTATGTCAGGCTCCATGGCGGACGAATGAGGCACCAGCTTTGTGTTTCAGAGGGCGGCTCGGCAGACTGCAAGAGGCCACGAAGACAAGAGCGGCAATCAGCGGAAATCATCATTGCAGCTTGCAGCATGCATTGTGGCACAGGGCCCATCCAAACACATCCAGACATGAAGCTGAGAGCATACTGAGCCTCAGCATCCATACTCAGCAGTTCCAGCAAGGAGTTGGCCATAGCCCGGTGATCCCGTGCAGACATGCGAATTGCATAAGGCCTTGCCATCGACAAGGGGTCATACGCAAAGGCAGACCCATTGACATTCACATTTCCATGCTGACAGCCAGTGGGTGCAGCACGGCACGATGACAGAACGCAAGTCGTACTGCGTGTGCCTCCTTCCACTCAATACAAATTGAAAGCACTAAACCTCCCATCTTCTTGGTGAAGCATCCGACTTCCAAGCTGCAGACTTCATACGGGCACCATCATCGACACGACGCTGATCTCCACGCACGGACCACTCCAAACCTGGGGAGATGCAGCACGTGTCGCTCAAGTTTCGGACATATCAATGACAAACCCTGGGCTTCATCGGTGACGGCACACCCGATACACACCGTTAGCTAGCCTTCCCAACAGCATGTGCCGAACAAAACAGCTGGTCTCCAATCAGCGACTGCCGCTGCAATTGCTAAGAGCACAGCACGGGCAGAGGGTGGTGGGACTTCGCCTGGGGAGGATGATGGAAAAAGCACAGATGATCGGGATAAGGCAATAAAGGACATAATCCAATGCAATAAGAAGCGCTTCAGCCTGGCTGACCGCAGTCGCAAAGCACCACTTTCGAGGTCAAACCGCTCGATGCGAATGCCCTGCTCAGACATTTCAGACATACCAAGACTAATCTCTCTCTCTGCCGCTGCATCCCAATGGTCCCACCGCGTGAAGCAGCCAAACACCGTGACTAATGACGAATACCATCTGTTCGCTAAAGGCACAAAACGATGCAAAATGCACACATCCACAACACGCGAACATCACAGAGGCCGCGGAGCCTCAGCATGGACCAGGATGTGGATCAAAACGCTCCCAGCGAACTCAAAGTGCTCTGTTGGCTCTGCCCACCTCGGCGGATTTCCCAAATGCGGAAGATTCTTGGGATGGGTTGATAGCTGCTCTGCAGGACTTCTTTGATTTTGGGACATCTGCCCGTACCCCAATGGACATACAAGTCAAAAATGACCCGCGGCTGCGAAAATGAACTCAGTAATTTCCAGGGAAATGCAACACTACTGTGCGGTCACCTTGTGGCACATCACACGACCGACAAGAGCACACCAAATTGTCAAACAACCCTTCAATGCCGAGTCCAATGCAAAGTAGACACTGATTTTTGAAACCGCATCCCCGAGAAGCAATGCCTTGTCTAGGCCGATCTAGGCAAAACTCGCTTGATCTTCCGCAGAGCATCGCCGAGCATCGACCGTTTCCCACTCATATCGCGATGTTTGCGCATCACTTGCAACCGCACATTCCGTCTCGAGGCCTCAGACCCTGAGAGGAGCTTTATTTAGCATCTCAGATACCCACGTCCAAGAGTTGGTGGGGCTGCTTAAGGACCTCCGTTCATGTCGGCTTCTGCAGGTTTGCACTTCGGATGCTTCTGAAAACCAAAAAAAGTCACGTTCCACTTCTGATCCCTGGGAAGCCATTGTGTTTAGACTGCACAATTCCAGCTGTGCTGTCTTGATAAGGGTCTCAGCACTTGGTTGAGCTTCAGCGGAGCAGCACGGGCTCGGGGGTGACCAGCCAGCATGCGCCACGTACCGCACTCGCAGAAAAGAAGCGGACGGCAGGAATAGAACCAGCAGACCGAACAGCCAAAAAAGAAACGATGAGAGGCGTCACAAACAAGGGCGCCATGCTGAAGGCCTGAGGGTGGTGGCTTGGCAACAAAACCACAAAACGGAACATTCGCAATCAAATCGCAAGAAACCCCTGTTAGCACGTACATGCCGACACGCTTCATGCCCGCGAGCTGTGCTGAGTCGTCGTCTTTTCGGCAATTGCAAAACATCCATCAAGAAAGTTGACCTGGCCAGTTCGACACGTGAGTCTGCACCTGCGTAGCTTCGCTCAATGCTTGGCCGCCTGTACTCGCGTACCCCGCTTGTCTGCAACCTTCGTGTCATTGCCTGCCATATCATTGCCAGGTTCGGGCCGGAGGATTGCAGTTAGCTACCGGAGCTTGTGCTGTCTGCAAAGGCTGTGACCAATGAGGCTCAGACTCCCAGGAGGATACCCCCTGAGTCCGCTGGCATGAATTACACAAGTTGCGTCAGCCACTGTGCCGCACGCGCATATTTATGAAAACACACACACACACAATCACACACAATCACACACAATCACACACAATCACACACAATCACACACAATCACACACAATCACACACAATCACACACAATCACACACACTCTCACACACAGATATATATATATATAGAGAGAGAGAGAGATTTATCTATTTACTTATTATGTATACACACACACACATGCGCAACACATGCATGCACACGCAAATCAGCCTCTGTGGGGCTGTGGGTGCCGATGCCTTGCCACTCCACTCAGATAACGCAGCATTTTTGCGCCAAAGGCTTGGCTAGCTCGGCACCCTGCCCTGTCATTGCGAAAGGTGCAATGCCTCGGCGAAAAAATGTCAATCCCTGCTCACCATCACTTTATATGCTGGGCCACTGACTGCCACGCTGAAAGGCCCGCGGTAACCAGGTCCATGACCTCAGGCTCATCAGACATCAAACATCTTCTCACACTACTGTCGAACGCCATTAAAGGTTTCACAATGGGAGTGCTCGCTGCCTCGTCCGAAGATTTAAACTTGAAAATCGCTTCGGAGCCTCATGAGCCGTGCCTTCAACGAAGCTCCCCTGAATTGCGCACTGCTTGCGGAATAGCTTTCGATCGAAGCTCAAGGTTAAGCGAGCAAATAGGTGGGCAATTCCTTGTCACAAACTTTCGAGGGGGGCCGGTGCATCCAGTGAGAAGGTGGAAAGGCGAGTCTGGGGATGAGACAGAACTGTTTTCCACGTCCGTTCCCTCCAGCCCTCTTCTTCCCTCCCGAACCCGCCAAGTTTTGCAAGAGGCTTGCAATCGTTCTTCTCCGCACTCTACAATCGCTGGGATCCGGGATTCAATGCTCCACCCGAAACTCTAACGTCAAGCAGCACCAGCGTCGGTGCAAGCGCGCGCGAGCGCGCGCGCGCGCGCGCGCGTTCAATGATAAAATTGGCTGCCTGCAACATCAACTGCCACGTATCCGTCTCATCCTGTCTCTGTTACGAACTGCAGTTCCACAATCAATGAATCAGGGCAGCTACGAGTTGGGGAAGCACGTGCATTCTCGGATGTTGCAACTGGATCACCTTAGTACCGGCATGTTTGTGGATGCAGGTGAATGTGAGGAGCCGGCACGTATTGGATTGGTGGACGCTGGACATGCGCTGAGCATGCAGCTGCCAGAGTGTCTACGTCCACTGGCACATTGACCTCAGAGCGACTGAGGGTGCGTACTCTCTTTGGGCACCAACCTCGTGCAGCGCTGAGGATGCAACTTCAACACTGAATCCCAGCGCGGTCTCATCGTCAGTATCGACACACCTTGAGAAATACAGCTCCAGCTGCACAAGTGATACGGCAAAATGCACTTTCGAAGTAATGAGAGAGTGGCTCCAGCAGAGTCTTCACCACATTTCGCGAGCGCGTTCGCAAATCAACTGCCTGAGTGCTTTGAAACATTTTGAAGAACCAAGTCCGAGACAGCCATCACTCTTAGGCAACGATGAGCCCGGTTCTGTGAGCTTTGAACTCTTCAGCTCGTAGACCGTCCTTAGCAAGAGGGCTGAAGCTGGCACCAATCACATGTCACCTGATGTCACCTGCTCGCCGTGAGTGCAGCCTGATAAATCTCAGGAGGCTGCCCAGTTGGTGAACTGCTAAATCCCAGCATTCCCTCGCGCAACCGAAGACATCCCAAAGGAACTGCCTGCAACCAAGACAGATGTGTTTCACTAACGTGCACCACACGCCTGAGATCCACACCTCTGTGAAAGACACATGAAAATTGAGCTCACCAGGCCACCTCATGGTGAGGCCACTCGGTTCAATCAGCCCCTAAGCAGTCTAGCAACATCTTTCAAACACTGCCTCCAGGAAAAGCGAAAGCCCCGACTCTTTGGGCGTGCGTTTCCGCCTTGGAACCCGGGGGATCAAACCAAACCGTAAAGATGCCACACAAGCTGTCACAAGCGACCTGTCGGGGCCGGCTCGCGAGTTGGAGCTGTGCCTGCGCACGAAAAAGCGAGCGCTGAGTCAAGCTGGTAGGTGCATGTCAGAATCGACTGGCATGCCGGGTGTTTCGTCCGAATTCCTGCAAGGCAGGCAATAGCCTGGGATTGGGACTATTCTGGGGTCGCAGGTACAGAACACGTCAAAAACATTGAAGGGGCCCCAAGGATGCCGAAACAGCCCAACCACCCAGGTCCGCACCAGCGTGTGATTCGGACATTTGTACGATACCTTACCAAGGCATACCAAGGCTTGTCCTGAACATGAAAGGCGTGCGCGCGTGCGTGCGTGCGTGCGCGCGCG